CAGCAAGGAAGGCAAACTCAGGAAGCCGGTCCCCGCAAAGTGGAGCCTCCACCCACAGCACTCCTCAACAGCGGGCTTGGAGGATCTACCTGCCCCTCTGGTGAGTCAGCATGCAGCTCAGTCTCTTTCAAGGCCAAGCCCTGCACATTCTAGCCTCACTGGGATTAAATCTTTATTCACATTTTCATTTTTTATATTATCTATTTTCCACTCCTCTCTCCTCTAAAACTTAAAATCCTATCTCAACGGAAATTAGTGCTTTTTTGGTACAAAACATTTACCTGCCTTCCTGGCAGGAAGTTGAACAAGAGGAAGAGGGAAGAGTTGGCTTAAGACTGAACCCCTGCAGGGGCCACTAGGCAGCTGCTACCCATCTGCACCACTGCAGGGTACAACAGTGGCTACATCTGCAGCCTGGACCCAGGCCCTCATGCGCAGGCATCACGCTGGGGAGGAGGCTGCCTCTGGGTTTCCAGCGCTGCTGGGCAAGGTCAGACCTCGAGGCATGTCCTTCTTATCATTGTATTATACACCCTTTCACTCTTTTTTCTTTTATTTTTGAAAATACAATGTTGTTATTAACTAGAGGCATCATGCTGTACAATGCATCTGTTGAATTTATTCCTCCTGTTCAACTGAAATTTTGTATCTTTTCACCAACATTTACCCAATCTCTTACACCACACCCCATACCTCAGCCTCTGGTAACCACTATTCTTCTCTCTGCTTCGATGAGTTCAACTTTAAAAATTTTCCACAGATGAGTGAGGTTAGGTGGTATTTGTCTTTCTGTGCCTGGCTTATTTCACTTAATATCATGTCCTCCAGGTTCGTCTATGTTGTTGTGAATTACAGGAGTTTTTTCTTTTTAAAAGCTGAATAGTCTTCCATTGTGCAAATGTACCATATTTTCTTCATTTGTTCATGCCTTGATGGACACTTAGGTTGATTCCATATTTTGACGATCGTGGATAGTGCTGCAGTGAACACGGGAGTCTAGTGATGTCTTTGACATGCTAATTTCAAATCCTTTAGATGTATATCAAGAAGGGGAATTAATGGATCCAAGTGGGATTGAATACCAGACAGATGAATCATCAATGCCAGTAGGATTTGCATTTCTTTAGAGGCAAAATTGGAGAAGATTGTAGGTTAAACATTGGATCAACATTGGTTGTCAGCATGAGCATGAGAGTTGGGTGAGAGGCAGATGCAGCATGGGGAAGTGTTGATGAGAGAGAAGCAGGCCTGAGTGAGGGCTTCTATTTGTCTGTTCTCACATTGCAGTAAAGAACTGCCTGAGACTGGGCCATTTATAAAGAAAAGAGGTTTAATTGACTCACAGTTCCAAAGGCTGTACAGGAAGCATGGCTGGGGAGGCCTCAGGAAACTTACAATCATGGCGGAAGGTGAAGGGGAAGCAGGCAAGTCTTACAAGCCAGAGAAGGAGGAAGAGAGAGTGAAGGGGAGGAGCCACATGCCTTTAAACAGCCAGATGTTGTGAGAACTCATCACTGTCACAAGAACAGCAAGGGGGAAATCCACCCCCATGATCTAGTCACCTCCCACCAGGCCCCTCCTCCAACACTGGGGATTATAATTCAACATGAGATTTGGACGGGGACACAAATCCAACCATATCATCAGGGGAGAGTTGGCAACTGTGCTGAAAGCTTCTGAGAGCCCCATAAGCTGAGAACAAGAAAGTGATCACCAGCTGTGGCGATGTGGGTGTAAGTCCTGATTGTGATAAGAGGCATCTCAGAAGAACTACAGAAAAAAAAGGGAACATCAGATTATCCATGTGATGGGAATTGAAGATGTAGACAGTTCTGGAATTATGGCTGAGAATGTGACAAAATAGATAGGACGTTAAAAAGAGAGGAAGGTGGAATTGAGGAGCGACCTGAAACAAATCTTGATAATTAAACAGACACCTTTGACAAATCACTCAGATTCTTTGGGCCTCGCTCTTTCCATCTGTAAAACAAGAGTAATCATAACAGGTGATCTATTTTGTTATTGAGAGTTAGATGAAGTAGAGATAGAAATAATATCCTAATGTTGGTGGTAACACAATTTATCTATAGTAGTTAACTGAGACAAGAGTAATGATAAGAATATGGCAATTATTGGAGTAGATGAATTAATATTAGGTTGATGCAAAAGTAATTGTGGTTTTGCAATTAAAAGTCATGGCAAAAACAGCAAGTACGTTTGCACAGACCTAATACTTCATTTAGCAGTGTCGTCAAATTTTAATCTTACAACAAATTACATTTATATTTTTGTGATTACTCTTTGTGTAACTGTTCAGTTGCTCTCCATCTTTATAATTACTAAAACCTCCTAATTCTCAGTGAGTCTTTCCTGGAACCCCTTAAATCAACGTCCATAACCACACTCCCCTTCGCCCTTTCATCTCCGCCCCAACTTTTGGGGTTCACACCACAGCTGTGCTCGGCTTGTTTCCTTATATGTGTTTGCATGAAGATACATGCCTCCATGTGAATTCTACCTAATTAGAGCTATGAGATTTTCCTCAAATATGTAAATTCTGTAATTATTTCAGAATTGACATATGGTGCACTTTACTATATGTTTACCATATTGTTGATATTCATGGGACTAAATATTTTCAGTAATCCCTTAGATGAAAAATTTCAAAATACATCTGACAAAGAAAAATTGCTCATAACAAATATGAAGCTACAGGTATCTAATGAGTATGAAGTGCTTGTGATTGGAGTCTCCAGCCCCAGCAATCATGCAGGCAAGTCATCCATATTTCACTGAGGGCCTCTTCCTTCAGTTTGCTATTCCAGCTCAGAGGAAATCACTCACTGGGGTAACTGCCTCCATTCAAGTGGAGGCTAGAGTCTGGCAGACACTTTGTGTTGAGAGAGTGCATCTGCCTCAGGAGGCTCGTCAGGCTGGCCAAGCGGGATCCTTCGGAAGAGATGGTAGCTTCCAGAGGGGCTTCTGTGTGGGTCTTCTGATGTGCAGAAAGAGGTCTCTGTAGTCATTCTGCCGATTCCCATTCTGAAAAAAAACTCTCACTGTCAAGATTCATCTTCATAGTACCAGAAGAGGTGGAAATTGGTGGCTATGCTCACAGCTGTTGGTGGCACTGAAGAGGTGGAAATTGGTGGCTATGCTCACAGCTGTTGGTGGCACTGAAGAGGTGGAAATTGGTGGCTATGCTCACAGCTGTTGGTATCATTGAAGAGGCGGAAATTGGTGGCTATGCTCATAGCCATTGATATCATTGAAGAGGTGGGAATTGGTGGCTATGCTCACAGCCGTTAGTGTCACTGAAGAGGTGGAAATTGGTGGCTATCATTGAAGAGGTGGGAATTGGTGGCTATGCTCACAGCCGTTAGTGTCACTGAAGAGAGGTGGAAATGAGTAGCTATACTCACAGCCATTGGTATCATTGAAGAGGTGGAAATTGGTGGCTATGCTCACAGCCGTTGGTGTCACTGAAGAGGTGGGGTGGTGACTCCGGCCATTGGTATCATTGAAGAGGTGGAAATTGGTGGCTATGCTCACAGCCGTTGGTGTCACTGAAGAGGTAGGAATTGGTGACTATGCTCACGGCCATTGGTATCATTGAAGAGGTGGGGTGGTGGCTGTGGTCACAGCCGTTGGTGGCATTGAAGAGGTGGGGTGGTTTGCTATGCTCCACCGGCTGTTGGTGGCATTGAAGAGGTGGAGAGGGTGGTGGCTATGGTTGGCATTGAAGAGTGGAAATTTGTGGCTATGCTCACGGCCATTGGTGGCACTGAAGAGGTGGAAATTGGTGGCTATGCTCACGGCCGTTGGTATCATTGAAGAGGTGGAAATTGGTGGCTATGGTCACAGCCGTTGGTGGCATTGAAGAGGTGGGAATTGGTTGCTATGCTCCGTTGTTGGTGGCATTGAAGAGGTGGAAATTGGTGGCTATGCTCATGGCCGTTGGTATCATTGAAGAGGTGGAAATTGGTGGCTATGGTCACAGCCATTGGTGGCATTGAAGGTGGGGTGGTTGCTATGCTCATGGTCATTGGTGGCATTGAAGAGGTGGGAATTGGTTGCTACGCTCACGGCTGTTGGTGGCATTGAAGAGGTGGGAATTGGTTGCTACGCTCACGGCTGTTGGTGGCATTGAAGAGGTGGGAATTGGTTGCTACGCTCACACGGCTGTTAATTTGGCATTGAAGAGGTGGGAATTGGTTGCTATGCTCACGGCTGTTGGTGGCATTGAAGAGGTGGAAATTGGTGGCTGGCTCACGGCTGTTGGTGGCATTGAAGAGGTGGAAATTGGTGGCTATGCTCCCAGCCATTGGTGGCATTCAAGAGGTGGAAATTTGTGGCTATGCTCATGGCCGTTGGTGTCACTGAAGCATGGAGCCAGCACAGGTGGCTTTTGGCACTGGCTGGTGCACTCTACATGGACCTGGGGGCAGCATGGGTGCGGGCCACAAGTGTGCAGATGCTGTGATTAAAACATTACAGAAAGATGGTGGGGGTAGAGGACTTATTGAGAAATGTCTGCTCCCAGCTCAGCTTCCCTCAGAGCTGCCTGGAGTTGGTGCTGCTGGGGGCAGCTGGCTCAGTGGGGAAAGGGCTCTGACAAACCCTGAGCCTCTGTGGGGCTCCTCGCTGGCTCCACAGCTGCTTCTGGGCCCCCTCCTATTCCCTGTCATGAGAAGTTGGCCACCTCACGGGGATATCTTCCTGTCTATCCGCTCACAAGGCACCACTGGCAGCCACTAGGCACACAGTGACTATATCTAGAATGAATGAGCACAACCTCCACCCATGGCTTGATACAGGATGTTCCCCCACCCCAGAAGGCCCACTCGGGCCCCTCCCAGTCAACACTACCCAAAGGCTAACCCTACTTCTATGGCCAGCAAGGCAGTATCTGCCTGGGTTTGAACAGTGTATGAGGAGTCACACCCAGTATACCCTGAGATGTGAGCTGGGCCTCCAGGAAGCAGACACCCAGACAGATAGGACTGCGAATGTTTATTAAGGAAACACTATGGAAATGAGAGGGAGAGGAGGCAGCACCAGGCACGGAGCATAAAACATGTTGGATACTCTTCCAAGATATCACGGCTCAGGAGAGTCTTCCAATTGTCCTGTAGGTAACAGGATTTGGTTTATTCCATGTGATCTTCTTTTGCCCAATACACATTTTGTCTTCTATAAAATATCTGTGCCCCTGCTGAATGGATCAGTGGGTGGCTGCATCTGTGTCTGTATGTCGTGCAGAATATTATCTACAGATCACAGACATAGATCTCAGAGGGGAACTGCGTATGCATTCCTACCATGTCCTCATCTCGTAAGGATCTGAGTTTTCATCTTGGAGACAGGCGCTTTCCCTTATCTTTTGTAACAGAGATTGGAAATCCCGGGCCTGAGCTGTTACACCCTAAGGTTTATTTAATGAACTTTGGTGAATATCTTTTGCTGATCTTCTGAGTGGGAATATTTTCATTTAACCAGTGAGAGGGGTGAGGGTCTAACACCCACCAGCTATTTTGCAAGATTCTTTATAGGCTTGATCTCTTAGTCCTCACAATGACCTCATAACCACATCATTCCTGGCTCATTTATAAGGAAGCTGGGGCTCTGAGCCCCACTGAGAGTTGGTGTCTAGGCTCAGGCAGCAGGGACACAGGGAAAGGGAGGAGTTTGCACACCAAGCTTGGGAGATGCAAAGCTGGGAGTTGCGGGTGGGAAGGAGAGAGTGCTGAGGATGAGATGATGCCAGAGCAGCTCAGGATGGGCCTTGATTTCCCCACTAGAGGTGGTCTCATTCTGAAGGCCAAGGCCACAGCTCCACCGAACCCAACCCATCCTCATTGTTAGTCTCCTTGGGCCCTAAAAACTCAGGGAGACAGGGCTCCCTGACAACCAAGTGAAATTTCCCAGACCTCGAGGCATTTACTCACCCTGATCCAAAGCCTTTACACATCCGGGGCACAGCTATCATGTTGCTTTTAACTCCCAGGTAATACCAAATTTTCAGTGCAGTATGACATAAAAAATAAGGTTGTCCACGGAAAAATGAGGGAGGAATTCTAAACAACAGAAGTTTTAAAAATGTGTTTGATTTCAAGTGTACAAGTCCCATCACGTGTCATCAGAGGACGCAGCAGCTGTCGAGACTACAGAGGCCACATGAGGACCAGCTTCCCTGAGCATCACTGAAGGTCTTCACTGGGAATTGTCCTTGTAGGTAATGAATGGCATTCACTCTTCACTACCTCACAGCCAGGGCACATTTTCTGTTGCAAATATGGAAACTCTGAAACCCAGAATATGAGATCAAGGGCACCACTGGGTGGGGGTGGGGTGATTTTGCACAACACAGTTACCAACAGAGCTGGGACTATGATGAATTATGGAATTGACTTTGTCAAAGAGTTTTCAAAATTGCACATACTTATGTTGGATTAATGAGTTTTCAGTCTTTTCACTTCGGAGATTACAGCAGATATTCTAAAGGTTAATCACCTACCTTATGGCAGAAGAGAAATAAAGTCACGCAAAAAAGAACACCTTACGTATTTTGGAAAGGGGACCCCAGCATATTTGGAGTAAAATGGGTCAGTCAGGGTCCCCTGGGCCATGAGACCCACAGCAGTGGAGCTCAGTGGCATCTCCTCATGTTATTTCTGCAAACAGAACAGTGAACACCCTTCAGCCCTTGGCCCCTGAGCATTTATGGCTTCTGCAGGTGCCACCGAAGATGACCAGCTGGGAACGGAGAAGTCTCGAAGCTCATGGGGAATATTTTGCTTTTGAAAAACTCCACCCAGAAAAGGCACCCCAGAACCCACAGAGCAGAGGCCCGGCCAGGAGAGGGCGCTGTGGGAAAAGACGAAAGTGTCCTGAAATAGGCAGAGTGAAAATGACTCCAGCATTTACCTTTTATCCATTTCTGATAAAGAGTACAAAGGCAAAAAAAGGATTTTCGCCCAAAAGCTCTGTTGACATTCTATGAGACAAACACCAACCTATTTAATTTTCATAATGTAAATGGTAGATATTTTCATAATTCTTATGCTAATATATCACTTCCCTGATTTTTTTTTTTGGTAAAACCCAATATTCCTAATGAAGTCCAGAACCATGAATTGTTCTAAATAATTTCTTCTTATTTATGATTACAAGTATACCTCTACAGGAAGTCAGTATACTCACACCAAGGCTAGTTTTCCAGAAGAAAATGCCAAGTGAACAAATTCCCAGGGAAACAATAACAAGCATCCAGGGAATTGCAGGAAAGTCAGGCCGGGATGAAAACGGTCCGGCAGAACACTGAGGACCTGGAATAATAAGAGCTGAAATAATGAGAAGGCTCAATGATATTGACAATATTTCAGTCACAAAGACTCACCCTTAGAAACCCTCAACCTCCTCCAAGAAGTAACCACACCCCTCAGATATCACCAGCAAATTCCACTGCTTCAAGAAGGATTGGAAGTTGACAGTCTCATGTTTCCTGCATGGCTGGTAGTGTTTTTAAGCATTGCAAATGTGGGGTGTCTTTTTTCTTTGGTCTAAAGCAGGGAGGTCCAATCTTTTGGCTTCCCTGGGCTATATTCAAAGAAGGAGAGTTGTCTTGAGCTGCACATAAAATACACTAACACTAGAACTAGCTGATGAGCTAAAAAAATTACAAAAAATCTCATAATGTTTTGAGAAAGTTTACAAATTTGTATTGGGCCATGTTCAAAGCTGTCCTGTGCTGCATGTGGCCTGTCACCTGTGGGTTGGACAAGCTAGGTTTAAAGTAATTATCATTTTTTAAAGTTACTTACTTTTTAAATTGACATAAACATTGGATATATTTATCATGTATCACACGATAAAAGAATCCCTGTGAATCACACTTCTCTCTTGGATTATGAATGAATGAGTCTCTGCCATTTAAAGATCGCCGTAAGTCAAAAAACTGCAATAAAGAGACGATTTCATTCAGAAATAAGTTATCAAATTTTAGTGCTTAATAATAACCAAAGTGGAAATCATGAATATGGCATGAATAGTGTGGGAAATCTCTAAGATTCTTGATATTAATTCTATTAGACTCTTATGTGAATGAAGACGAAGACTTCCCGTGAGTAAGTTCAGATGGCTTCTGATAACATTCCTACATAGATTCCTCAGGATTTAACTGTATGTTCTTGAAAACATCTTAATTTTAAGTGCTTCTTTCAAGATGGTGAATTAGATAGGCATTCAACAGGTTGGACTCAGCATATACTGAGTCCGAAATGGAAAAGACTGAGTTAGAGATCTGTGCAACAATGGAAATGATTTCAAAAAACATGGTGTTGAGAAGAATCAGACACAAAGGAGTATCTATGGCATGGCACGCATCTATATACGTGAAATTCCAGAAGAAACAAAATCAGCCTATGATGAGAAAGGGATTGGCTGGGAAGAGGGAGAGTTCACTTTCTGGGGCAATGTAATACTGTAGATCGTGAAAGGGGCTTTGGATATGCAGTGTGTGTGCTTTCCAAAGTGAGCAATGTTACACCTAAGATTTGTAGAGTTTGTTCAGTGTAATTCTTGTTTAGAAGAAAATTTTATAAAGAAACATTGAATTCTAGTTAATGTTAGTTTTGCTAAACTATTCATCGGAAGTATGTTGATGTCTCCAACACAGTTGGAAATACATCTAAAATAAGATGGACTGATGGACGGATAGAGGGATGGAAAGATGGGCAGATACATGTTAAGTCATGTTCATTAAAATGTTAACACATCAATGCTGTATTTACAAACATTTTTATAGCAAAATGTTGATGGTAATTGCCAAAACCACTTGTGTCGTGTAATTTTTTCCCCTTTAAACAAGAGTTCCAAAATAATTATTATTCACGTTCTACATGTTTGAACAATTTTATACATAATATCAATTGGATGTTTTTTGTATCACTTGATCCCGGCGTTGTAAAATGCAAGGACACAGGAAAAGCTTGCAGAGGTGCTGCTTTATGGGTTTTTGTTTTCAGGACAAAGACCAAATGGGAAAAATAAGCCTTCTATTTCTTTCCAAGGGAGAGGACAGACGCACTGTCATATGACCATACAAAGGAATTTTACTCAGCAATATAACAAAGACAAACTATTAATATTTAAAACAATATGAATCAGTGTGAACATGATTCTGCTGATTTTACAGAATTCAGAACAAGAATATGTCTCCTGTATGACTCCATTACATGCAATGGCAGTGCAGGGGGAGGATAGTAAGATGGAGGGAGAAGGACAGACGGATTCAAGAGGAGGAGGAGAAAACTTTGAAGAGGGAGGAATGTGCTTATTGTCTTGAATCTGGAATGTGGTGATGCTTTCATTGCTGTGTCCATATGTAAAAGCCAGCAAATTGTATTCTTTATAAAGGGGCGGTTAATATACAGAACTTTATATCACTTAAAAAGTAGGAAGGAAATTTGAGGCACAAATTATTAGTTTTTATTTATCTGACAAAAACATTGCAAATATTTTAAAAATTATAGAACTTTACCTACAAATGCATAATTCAATTTAAAATGGAGATAAGAAATACAAACTCACAATGGTTGGGAAGCCAAGGTCTTCTTTTATATATTTAAAAATTTGTATTACATTCTTTGATATATATGCAAAAATACGTCCACACTGTATGGAAAAATGAGAAAAAATATAAGAAAAAAGTCTCAAAGTTATAGATGAAAATATTACATAAAGATATATTTACATATACACAAATTGAGAGTGGACAGCTGCTATAACAATACCTAGGTTATATTCCAACAAAAACAATCACAGATTGTTGTTTAGCCCGAGTTTCTAAAAACATTCACTTTTGAAAATCACTGTTCACTACTGCTGAAACGGGGCACTTCATGTCAGATTTTCAAAGTCCATACAGATTTGCATAACATAGTCTCCTTGGAATTATGATTAAAACTGTGAGAACTGAAGTCAGTCAAAAACACAGTACCAAGTAACCACTAACAAGAGTTCACCTTCATATTTTAGAGCAAAGCACCTGAAGCACTCAGGAGCACCTTGGAAATCCACATGGAAGGCAATCCAAACTTCCTGGAATGTATGGCCACCACCACACGAGGCACACATATTATTTTACAATCACTGGATTTACAAGTATTGGGGGAGAAAATAAATACAAAATGCAACTGAGACCAATCCACATACCAAGACTCAGTTTTGTGCAAATCAAACCTCTGTAGAAAGCAGCCTCTGAGCTCTGCGGCACTTTTGTCTTCAGCCTCACGGTGGAGATGAGCGCAGCCTGGGCTCCTGGGAGGGAGGCATTGTCACTGAGTAGCCTCCATCTGAAAGGAAGCAGGAGCTCTGGGCACAATGATTAAAGATGTGGATCAAATGCACAAGAAGGACAAAGACCATCTTGTCACTGACCAGGAAAACATCCTCCGTCTTGGGCACTCTTGTCACATCTGACAATTATCAGGTTATCAGTAGTGGGCTCCTACCCAGATTAGGTCCAATGTGTCCAGGAAAAAGCTTAGGTTCTGACAGTTGACCATGAGCAAGGGTGGACGTGGAAAATGCAATGAGGAAAATGTATCCAAGTCTTCAAAGGTGAGGTAGGGAAAGAGAGCGTAACTGATCTATGAAATGCAGCCAGGTAAAGGGAAGAACATTCCAACCAAGATTATCAAGACATTTCCTCCTTCACAGACTCAAAAGAATCAAGAGCCTCTTCTCTGATTGGAGGCACTCATGTGGGGCGATTCCGCCTCGATGCGGCGGTTGCTCCCCATCACTGGACTTTTCCAGCTCCCTCTCTGAGAATCTGGTGCATGCCACTCGGAACAAATACTCTCATCTCCGTAAGGTGCCCTCTCCTGCGCGTAGTGGAGAGGTTTTATAATGTGAGGGTGAAACCTTTCAAAGTGGAAACCTGTGATTTCTTCCTATTTGGACAATCAAAAGGACTTTAAGACCCTTTCTGCTTTGGGTACATCAACGATCTGCACAAGACACATTTTACAGAACAAAGGACAACAGAGTCCTCATTCACATCCTGGTCATGTCACTCCTGGGGACTCCGCATTGCAACCTCCACCTCCTGGGCCCAAGCGATCATCCCACCTCAGCCTCTCAAGTAGCTGGGACTATAGGTGCTCACCGCCACGTCTAATTGTTTGAGTTTTTTGTAGAGACGGGGTTTTGCTATGATGTCCAGGCTGGTCTCAAATTCCTGGACTCAAGCCATCTGCCCACCTTGGGCCCCCAAAGTGCTGGGATTACAGGCGTGAGCTGTGTCATTTCACACTCCATGACAGTCCAATGAAAAGGAAAGAACTCCGCAGGTCCACTGTCTACTCATGTAGCTGGACTGATGGCTGGGAAACCCCAGCACGAGAAGCCAAAAGAGCAGCCACTGCAGCCGCATGTCCTCGTCCTCTCAGGGCACCCTGAGGTGGCCAGGACAGAGGTGGAGGTTGCAGTGAGCCAGGATCGCCCCACTGCACTCCAGCCTTGGCGACAGAGACCTTGTCTCATACAAAACGAAGTGAAATGTCGTTTGAGTTCTGTGTCATCTGGTTTGATGACTTTCTAGGAACTTCTGAGTCATCTGCTCTTGGGAGCTGCCTCCAGGGAGTCCATGTCCAATCAGAGCGATGGGAGCTCCAGAAGCCCATTAGATGGGAGAAAAAAGGGCTCTCCCCTGCTGGGATGTTTGCAAATCTGACTTTAAATATTTCTCTGTGCTCCTCTCCTCTCCTCTCCCCTCCCCTCCCCTCTTTTTTCTTTTCTTTTCTTTCTTTATCGAGACAAGGGCACACTTTGCTGTCCTGGCTGGAGTGCAGTGGCATGATCATACCTCACTGCAGCCTTGATCTCCCAGGCTCATATGGTCCTTCCACCTCAGCCTCCTGAGTAGCTGGGACTGAAAGTGTGCATACCACTCCCAGCTAATTTTTAAAAAATCTATAGTAGAGACAAGGTCTTACTATGTTGCCCAGGCTGGTCCCAAACTTTTCAGCTCAAGTGATACTCCCTTCTTGGCCTCCCAAAGTGCTGGGATTACAGATGTGAGCCACCATGCCCAGCCTAGTTTTTATATATATATATACACACACACACACACACACACACACACACACACACACACACACACATATATATGTGTGTGTGTATATATATGTGTATATATATAAACTATATAAAATAGTCTACGATTTTTTTTTTTTTTTTTGAGATGGAGTTTCACTCTTGTTGCCCAGGCTGGAGTGCAATGGCACAATCTTGGCTCACCGCAACCTCCACCTCCCAGGTTCAAGCAATTCTCCTGTCTTGGCCTCCTGAGTAGCTGGGATTACAGGCATACACCACCACGCCCAGCTAATTTTGTATTTTTAGTGGAGATGGGGGTTTCTCGTTGTTGGTCAGGCTGGTCTCGAACTCCCAACCTCAGGTGATCCACCCGCCTTGGCCTCGAAAAGTGCTGGGATTACAGGCGTGAGCCACTGCTCCCGGCTAGTTTATCTTTACAGTAATATATTTGTAGATTTAACTCCATGTAAATCAAAGTTGAATCTATGTGTTCTGCAGGGCAGAGAAGTTATACATCCAACAAAAACTATAGAAAAAAATTAAAAAATACTCAGAAATATATGTATTTTATTTATACACCTGTATAATATTTATTATAGCAGTAATAATGACTCTGTAGTTACAAAAGAGGGAAAGGATTTAAAAAAAATCCCTGGGAGATGCTATTCCACTATGTCCCATCCAATAACAATGGTACATTGTTATCTATTATTGACATCTTTCACTAAGATGGAATTGGTTTTTGGTAGGATAACACTTTATGAACACCAGGCTTAACACATTTAACACAGTTGTGTTTAATTAAAAACAAATTAAGTTCACATAGAATCTTAAAAAGCATTTCAAACTTTATGGTATATTACCTTAATAAAATACTGGTAAAACAATTAATTTACAAAATTCAAAATGTTTCCCTCTTCCTATAATGCAGAAGGTGTAAGGTCAGCCGAGAGAAAGGATGAGGAGACCCAAAGTCAGGCAAGCAAGCTGTACTGAGCCGCCTGGCTGCTCTGCCGCAGTTAGAGGAGGCAGCGCTGCTTACAGACTACAGCAGGGTTTCAGAGGGCCAGAACCAGGTCGGGGTGTGGGAGCTGAGCTGGGGGTGTAGGAGGACTGGGTCGGGGTGTGGGAGCTGAGCTGGGGGTGCAGGAGGACTGGGTTGGGGTGGGGGAGCTGAGCTGGGGGTGCAGGAGAACTAGGTTGGGGTGGGGGAGCTGAGTCGGGGGTGCAGGTATCTTGTCCGCATCCTGGAGATGTTTTTTGCCAGCTTTGTTATGTGAAGTGAACAGACATGTTAACCGCATCCTGTAACTATCTGGACAGTCACTGGAGGGGACGGTGAAGGGAGGGTTTGTCGTTTGCCCTGGGGTAGCTGTGTGGAGAGTGCAAGGGGCTGTATTGTAAGGCCTGTGGGAGGGGAAGAGAATGGTCTGGTCAGGTGACTCTAACATTTTAGCCTTTTAATAGATGATAGGAAAAGGGATGCCATTTTTCGTCTGGCTACTTCAAGCCGAGAGGGTGCAGTGGTTAGGGGAAAGGCTGGAAGGTAGGGGTTGGTCCTGGTTTTGAAATTGCCAGTATTCCTGTAGTCGCGTCATGTCTTGTATGGTTCCGTGGGTGAAAGTTCGGACGTGGTTCTGTAAAAACTGGGTACAGAGACGTAAGAGGCACGGCCCAAAGACTGGAAGGAGAATGGTTATGGCGGGTCCTACGAGTGGGAGGAACCAGAGGGCCTAAGAGATGAGAGACCAAGGGGGCAACAGGGCCAGGCAGAGGAGCTGATTTTTTTTTTTTTTTTTTTTTTTGGTGGGGTGGGGGGCTTGGTCTTTTAGTTTTTTGACTGCATCCTGAACCAGGCCTGACTGATTGAAACAGAAACAGCATTCCTCATCTAGGAAGATCCAGAGACTTCCTTTTTCTGCAGTAAGTAAACCAAGCCTTTGCGGTTTTGTAGGGTAACTGCTGCTAGGGAGTCTAGTTGGTTTTGGAGGTGGGTCATAGTCTACAGTTTTTTTTTTTTTTTCTTTTTCAGGGAAGCCTGTAAGTCTGTAGAGTGCCTGGAAATACGATAATGAGGTTCCTCTTACTGGGTATGTAGGAATAGATGGAGAGCGGAGCGTCCCTTGGGAGGAAGTGACAGAGCACATATGACAGTTTGAAGTTATGTTTTTTAGCAAGGTAGATAGGTGGGGCGAAGAGAAATACAGGCAAAGGAGAAGGTAAGGGGGGTACACCCCAACATGGAAAGATTGGTGAAGGGATGTTAGGATTTTTTTTTTTTCATTTGTTTTTGGGGGAGGACGACTTTTTTGATGATCTAGTTCCTTTGGAAGGAGGTGCCTTGTTGTAGCAGTGAGGCTTTTTTTAGTGGGGGAATTCTGGGGTTGCATTGCAGGGGTAATGAGGAAGAGAGAGCCAGGGGAGACCTTTTTTGCTGCTTTATCGGCTTTTGTTGCCTTTTGAGATTTTATTTGATCCCGTTTGATGTCCTGCTTCGGTTGGAAGGTATGCAGCCTGAAGTAGTTGGTAAATAAGGGGGACCTTAGTGATGGCAGTTCCTTTGGCAGTAAGGAATCCTCTCTTTTGCCAGATGGCAGCATGCGAATGAAGGATGTGATAGGCATATTTGGAAAGGGTTAGCGCTCTGGTGACAGCTTTAAGTTTTGCTTTTTGGGAGGAGGTTCCTGGAGGTAGGGGCCTGGCTTTAATTACTTGGTCAAGAGAAACAACTGTATATCCAGCAATTCTGGGGGAGCCAGTGGGCCTGGAAGAGGAGCCCTCTGTGAATAGCTGGTCATTGGGGTTGGTGAGAGGCTTGGAGGAAACGTTTGGGAAGTGTGCAGGTGGTCTAGGATGTCAGTGCAAGAATGAGTAGGAAGGGAAGAGCACACCAGGAGTAAGGATTCTGGGTTGAGGGGAACACTTTTGGTAAGGCAGAATTTGGGATTTTTGATAAAGAGGACATGGAGTAATTGAATCTGGGAAGGAGGAGGAGAGCTTAACGCTTGGCAGGAGAGGAGATCTTGTAGATTATGAAGACTATATAGATTGTGGTATTTGGACTGAATGTTCAATTTCCTGCTTTCCAGAGCTAAAACAGCCACTGCTGCTAGCGCTGTAAGACAGGCTGGCCACCTTTGACTGTGTTGTTGGGTTGTTTAGAGAGGCAGGAACAGGAGCAAAGGAAGGAGGATTTTATTTCTGTTGTCTTCAGACACCAAGGGCTATTCCTTGGTTTTCGGCAGTATAGAGAGTGACAGGTTGGGAGCTATTAGGTTAGGACAGAGCCAGTGCAGTGATGAGAGGGGTTTGGAGTTGGTGGATGTGAGGAGGTTAGGGGTTTATTGAGGGGGCCTTTGACTGCTTTATAAAGGGGATGAGCTAGGAGGGCAAAGTTGGGAGTCTATTTTTTTTTTTTTTTCTTTTTTTAGAGACGGAGTCTCGCTCTGTCACCCAGGCTGGAGTGCAGTGGCCAGATCCCAGCTCACTGCAAGCTCCGCCTCCCAGGTTTACGCCATTCTCCTGCCTCAGCCTCCTGAGTAGCCGGGACTACAGGTGCCTGCCACCACGCCCAGCTAGTTTTTTTGTATTTTTTTTTTTTAGTAGAGACGGGGTTTCACCGTGTTAGCCAGGATGGTCTCGATCTCCTGACCTTGTGATCCGCCCGTCTCGGCCTTCCAAAGTGCTGGGATTACAGGCTTGAGCCACCGCACCCCGCCAGGAGTCCATATTTTTAAAAAGCCTGCTAGCCCTAGGAAGGAATGGAGTTAGTGTTTTGAGGAAGGTGGAGATAGGCTGTCTATTAAGGCTGCCAGTGACAGGGTCATGGCTCGAGATCTGGGCCATTCTTTGGAGGGGGTGACCCTATAGCCTTTATTAGTGAGGAAACTGAGAAGGAGGCAGTATGAGTCCGGGAGTTTTTTAAAGAAGGGCTACAGAGAAGGAGGTCATCTACATATTGAAGAAGGCGGCTGGGTGAAAGATCCAAGGAGGCAAGGTCTTGGGCTAGGGCTTGCCGGAAGAAATGAGGGCTATCCCTGAAGCCCTGAGGGAGGACAGTCCACGTGAGTTGTCGTGACTGGAGGCTGTCGGGGTCAGTTTGGGTGAAAGCAAAGAGGTTTTGGGAATCAGGGTGTAGGGGAATGATGAAGGCGGCATCTTTTAGGTCAACTGTGGTGTAGTGGGTGGTGTTGGAGGGGATGAGAGAAGTGTATAGGGGTTAGGGACTACAGGTTGAATAGGGAGAACAGCCTGAGTGATAGCTCGGAGGTCCTGAACGAGTTGGTATGAGCGTCAGATTTTTCAATAGGGAGGATGAGGTGTTACATGGAGAGTGTGTTGGTCTAAGCAGACTGTGTGAGCAGAGCTTGTTTGTGATGGGTTGTAAGCCCTTTGGTGTGTTAGGGAAATAGGGTATTGGAGAATGCTGGGAAATTTAGAGGGTCTTTTAATGGGATTTTGATGGGGTCCTGGTGAGCAGCTATGGAAAGGGTGGTGGTGTCCCACACTACTGGGTTAATGAGGGAGGCGGGTAGCAGGTGCTGGGGAAGGGGGGGTCAGGGGCTGGACTAGCAGAGAGGAACAGGAGGGACTCTGGTTGAGGGGGACAGGAAAAGGTGATAGAAGCTTTGAATTTGGTTAAAATGTCTTGGCCTAGGATTGGGGTGGAGCAATGAGGCATAAGGAAGGAGTGTGAAAAAATAGTATTAAATAGGGAACAAGTAAAGGATTCAGTAGCATGTGGATGCGAGATGAGTCGATCAACCCCCACAACAGAGACCTTGGAAGGGTAAGTGGGTCCTAAAAATTCAGGTAAAGCTGAGTAGGTGGCCCCACTATCAATTAAAAAAGAGACTGGCTTACCTGCTATTAGCAGAGTTACCCTGGGCTCCAATGCAGTGATGGCAGATGGGGCCGGGGGCCCTGGGCTCTGTCAATCTTCAGTGGCCAAGCCAAGGAGCTGTGGGAGTGAGCGACTCTTCACTCTTTGCTTTGCCAGGGCCTTGAGGAACCGGCCTGTTAGTCTGCTTGTTGAGGACAATCAGACTTCTAGTGACCAGTTCGTTGGCAAGCTAGGCAAGGAGTTTTTGGCATTCACGGGTTAGGGCATGTTTGGGCCCAACAGCCTTGTTTGCAGCACTTAAAACAGGGCCCGGGAGGGTCACTGCTATGGGGTCTTTTGTGCCCCAGGTAGCCTGAGCAGGCTGATGAATAGCTGCTGCTAGGAGCTGGTATTTGGCATGATCTCATTGGGCTTTATCTTATTTTGCTCATCTCTGTTGTTGAAGACCTTAAAGGCCAGGTTAAGGGGTTTCAGGGCCGTCTTCTACCTTTTTTGAGCATGTGCCGTATGTCAGGAGCAGACTGAGAGATGAAATGGATATTAAGAATAATAGTTCCTTCCCGGGAGGTGGGGTTAACGTGGGTGTATTTTTGGAAGGTCTCTGTAAGGCAGGAAAGAAATTAGTGGGATTTTTGTCGGCCCTTTGGGAGATTTTTTTGAGTTTTTCAAAGTTACGGCCTTACGGCCGCTTTGTTAAGGCCTCTGATAAGGCAAGTGATCATGTGATCACGAGATGCCTGGCCAGGTTCTGTGGGCTGGTACTCCCAGGAGGGTTTTTCCCAGGGAACTGCAGCGGCCCCTATGGGCTTAGTAGGCTCTTGCCGATGAAGATCACTGGCATGCGCCTGAGCTGCAAGCCACTCTTCCTTTTTTTTTTTTCCAGGAGAGTAAAAGAGAGGATAATATAGAGATCATGCCAAGTGAGCTATCTGATATAAGTGTCAGGATTGGAGGAAAATGACCTGAGACGTTTCTTAATTTGGGAAAGGTTAGAGAGGGAGAAGAGAATGTGGACGCGAATGACTCCTTTAGCCACCTCTCAGAGGGGAAGTAAGGGGGCCGACTGTTGGGCATGCTGAGTCTGAGAGTGGGTATGAGGTGGAGATGGGGAGGAATCGGAATCAGAAGCTGGGTGGTTGGAGAGAGGAAGAGAAAGAAGACAGCAGCGGGAGTCTATGGTGGAGGACTGTGATGATTTGGGGGAGGATTATGGTGCTGTTGGTGAAAAGTCGGCAGGGTCAAAGGAGGAAGAATCATTGGGAGGAGTGGTGACGCGTGTGGGGGGTCTGAGAATGGGTCAGGTGTGGAGCAGGTGAGGAGGATTTGGAAAGTAGAGCAGGACTGACAGAGGGAGGGACAGCTACGGAGGGCAAACGAAAGCCCGAACATAAGGGATCTCTGACCACTTTGATTGCAATGGCAGAAGTTGTCTCGGTACCTGAGAATGTTGAAATTGAAAGTGCTGTTTTCAGGACACTGGGAGCCATTGTTTACTTTACATTGTGGCCAGGCAGTGTTCCAATAAAAGATGAGTTATTTTTGGCTGAATTTCGGAATGGAGGCTAAGGGCGTTAAGGTTACGGAGGAGACACCCAAGCGGCGGATGTCTTTGAGGGAGTGGATTGGGAGGCTCCCACAGTGGAATGGGAAAGGGAGGGGTAGAGATGGGAGACTTGACCAGAGACTAGAATGGTGGGAGAAGGCATCCCTTGTCCCATGGTTCAAGTTGGAGAAGTGTGATAATCCCCGGTTCAGCCACCCCTGATAGGGAGATATCGAGGGCCTCCTGGAGGCCGGGAGGAGGAGGAAACCCTTGGCCCAGCGCTGGGTCTTTTGGGAAGGAAAGAATAGACAAGGGTTCCAGAAATAAGGCAAAAGTCTCCTTTACTCACCCCTGAGGTGGCCTTGGTGTTCGATGTGTTCGCCAGCAATGGAAAGATCCTTGGGTCTCCAGCAGGTTCTGGAAGGGGGAGTTTAGCTGGGGGAAGGAGGGAGGGAAGGAGAAAGGGAGAAAGGGAGGCCAAACTCTACCATCATCCTGGGTTTTGGCACCAGAGATCTAAGGTCAGCTGAGAGAAAGGATGAGGAGACCCAAAGTCAGGCAAGCAAGCTTCACTGAGCTGCTTGGCTGCTCTGTCAGTTAGAGGAGGCAACTCCACTTACAGACTATAGCAGGGTTTTATAGGGCCAGAACCAGGTCGGGGCTGGGGAGCTGAGTTGGTGGTGCAGGAGAACTGGGTCGGGGTGGGGGAGCTGAGCTGGGGGTGCAGGAGAACTAGGTTGGGGTGGGGGAGCTGAGTTGGGGGTGTAGGTATCTTGTCCGCATCCTGGAGATGTTTTTTGCCAGCTTTGTTATGTGAAGTGAACAGACATGTTAACTGCATTCTGTAACTATCTGGACAAACAGTTACTGGAGGGGACAGTGAAGGGCGGGTTTGTCTTTTGCCCTGGGGTAGCTGTGTGGAGAGCGCAAGGGACTGTATTGTAAGGCCTGTGGGAGGGGAAGGGAATGCTCTGGTCAGGGTGACCCTAACAGAAGAGTATTATTCTAAACACCTAGCTCATAAATCACTTACAAGTATATAAAACAACCACAAAGAGCCTCTCTACCAAGATTTTACTCACGCATCTTACATTTCAGTGTCTTTCACCTTTCATGGACAAGTATATCAGTGATGCACACCTAATAGAAGAGAATTTCTCACATCTCTGATGCAGCAACAACTGACCATGTGTTTTCACATCAGCACTAGAAATGAAGACACAGCATGAACTGATTCGAGGATTAAAAGACATCAATATTCGCTTTTCAAAAATTTAACATTTTTCAATGCAAAAAAGTGTATTTTGAATGTAATTATAACTCTACAAAAACTCAGTCTCATCCTCCTTTTAAACTTAAATAAGAATGAACGATCTATTTCAAGTCGAGATGTCTCTGTAGACTCAACACACGGATTCACTGTCATTTCCGAACGTGTCCGTGCTCTATTCCTCTCTTCTTCAAATCCTCCAATGTTTACTTAAATTGAATTTTGCTTATTTTTCCCATTTACTGTATTTGCAAAATATCTTTTAGTATGAACTCTGATGTTTTCTAAGCTATCATTTTTGAACAAATGTTATTCCACAGTTATGATATTTGTTGGGTTTCTCTACAAATTCTCTGGAAGTTTAAGCAACTGTTGCAAGTCTTCCATCTAGTATAAAATATAATTGTAACATTTTTTTTCAGAAGAAATACTCTTGTGTGCTCTGGAGACTTATATTTCATGAAAGGTCTTTCAATAGTAATTAAATTTATAATAACTTTGTTACATCCAAACTGATGTAAAGTAGGATGCGAGCAGATACTAAAGGCTATGCCTATTTTTATATTTATTTTTTTTCTCAAGTATGAATGCTTTCATGTACAGTCAGGTGTGAGAACTGGGTGAAGGCTTTGCCACACTTTTCACACTTGTAGGGTTTCTCTCCAGTATGAATTCTCTTATGTACAATAAGGTTGTACAGTCATGTGAGAACTGGGTGAAGGTTTTCGCTCTTTTCACACTTGTAGGTTTCTCAGTACACCTCTTATGTACAATAAGGTTTGGTGATCAAAAGTTCTTTCCACATTCTTCCACATTTGTAGGGTTTCTCTCCAGCATGGGTTTCTCTTATGTTTGGTAATATCTGAGAAACCACATAAAGACTGCCTCACATTTGTGGTTCTCTCCAGTATGAATTCTCTATGTACAATAAGGCTGGACGATCAGTAAAGTTCTTTCCACATCATTCGTCACATTTGTAGGGTTTCTCTCCAGTATGGGTTTTCTTATGCTTAGTGAGGTCTGATAACTGCTTAAAGATGTTGCCACATTCTTCACATGTGTAGGGTTTTTCTTCAGAATGAGTTCTCTTATGATTAGAAAGGCTTGAGCAAGTTCTGAAGACTTTCCCACATTCTTCACACTGGTAGGGTTTCTCTCCAGTGTGAATCCTCCTATGTTCACTGAGGTGTGAGGACTGTGTATAGGCTTTCCCACATTCTTCACATTTGTATGGTTTCTCACCAGTGTGAATTCTCTTATGTTTAGTAAGGTCTGAGAACCATTTGAAGATGCTGTCACATTCCTCACATTTGAAAGGTTTCCCTCCAATCTCATTTCTCTGATGTTTGGAAGGATTTGGGCTGTGGTTAAAACCTTTGTACCATGTTTCACATTTGGAGAGCTTCTCTCCAGCAAGAATCAGCTGTTGATTAGAAAGGCTTGAGCAAGATACAAAGACACTGCTGCACTCTTCATATTTGCAGGGTTTTTCCTCAGTACTACGCTCATGTTCAGTAAGGTGGGAGTACTGGTTAAATACTTTGCCAAATTCTTCACATTTGTAATGTTCCCCTCCAGCGTAAATTCCATTTTTAGTAAGGACTGAGCAAGTTTTAAAAACTTTGTCACATTCTTGACATCTGTAAGGTTTCTCTCCAGTGTCAATGTTCTCATGTTCAGTAAAGTGTGAGCACTGGATAAAGGTTTTGCCACATTCTCCACATTTTTGGAATTTTTTTCCAGTGTGAATTTTCTGATGTTCAGTTAGGAATGAGAACATCTGAAAGGATTTGCCACATTCTTGACATTTGAAAGGTTTCTCTCCAGTATTACTTATATTATGTCTATGCAAATTTGAAAAGTTATTAAAGATTTGAACATATTTATTACATTGAAAGATTTTGCTATGGGTAGTTGATGAACATTGGTTAAGTTCATTATAATCTTTTTGCAACTTACACTCATCTAAACCTTCCCAGTCTTTCCTTAAATGTAAATTATCAAGGCCACAATTTCCATATCCTCTCAGTATTGATTTTGGGAACGCATCTTGTATGCCCTGCTCTGGCAAAAGGTCTTGGGTAACATGAGAAGACATAGTGGAAAAAAAAAAAAAAAGTTATCCCACTTACTAGACACAGATGAATATATTTTATGAATCTAATCTGTAAAATAATGCCAAATACATTAGCAAAATGGCATAAAAAATACCACAGGTCCTAATTTCTGTATAAACATATAAATGTAACAATACCTAGTGAGAAAATGCATCTGAACTCTAAAAACCACTTCAGAGTTTGCAGCACCCCAGGTGAGCATAATGCTAGGAGTCACATAAAAAAAAAAAAAAGTGTGTTACATTTACCCCCCACAGCCCCTGCTCCTCCGCAGTACAGCACAATGCCTTTGAGAGTACATCCTCAACTCCTGGCTTCTCCTTCAAAAGAGAAAGAAAGTATTGGCGCAAGTATTTTTACTTTTGGCCTTTTGAAGCTTTGGCAAAGACTGATTTCTGCCCCCATGACAGAGGGCGGAGAGAAATGGCGGTACTCTGAGTGACAGGCTGGGTCTGCTGAGACCGAAAGGAAATACCTGTGACAGCAGCAGGAAGGCTGCAGCAGCAGCACCAGGCAACAGGTGTATTGGGTGATTACAGGGCACTGTGAAGAAACCTGAGAAACTCTCTTTAACTGAAAAATACACACACAATCCCACACAAGACACAGCTGCAGAACAGGCTTAAGCGGCCTCTAGAATCCGGCCCAATTTGTTTTAGACTACCCCAGGAGAAAGCCACATTATAAAGGTTGTGGCAGGAGGCTTTTTGTTAATGCCTGAATCTCAATCAAAGTATTAGCAATCAAAGAAATAAAAAAAAGTTCAAAAATCAACCCTAAAACAATGGAGATGCATAAATTAACTGAAAAAATAAAATTACCATTTGAATAATGCTCAATGAGTAAAAATGGGAAAACAGCAAACTAAGTAAAATTAGGAAAATGAGGATATCAATAAAAAGATATAAAGTATGAAAAACAAACTGAGAAACAGGTATGAAAGGAAATAATTACTGAGAAATTCTTAAAAGAAAGAAAAAAATATTAAAAAATCAAGAAGCTCAACACATCAACTAGTATAAACAAAAGGGACATAAGACACATTATAACCACAGTTTCCAAAGTCAAAGGAGAAAATAATCCTGAAAGCAGCAAGTGAAAAGCAAAGTGTATGCTCTTAGGAGATTACCAGTGAATTTGTCCACAGAAACCTTGAGGCCAGGCTGGGCACGGTGGTTCACACCTGTAATCTCAGCACTTTGGGAGACTGAGGCAGGCAGATCGCTTGAGCCCAGGAGTTCGAGATAAGCCTGAGTAGCATGGTGAAATCCCATCTCTACAAAAAGTACAAAAAAAATTAGTTGTGTATGCTGTTGCACTTCCCAGCTACTCAGAAGCCTGGGGTGGGAGAATCACCTGAGCCTGGAAAGTTGAGGCTGCAGTGAGCCATGATCACACCACTGCACTCCAATTTGAGTGACAGAGTAAATCCCTGTCTCAAAAAAAGTACAAGCTGAAGCAAGAAGGGAACTGGATGAGATAGTCTAATTGCTGAACACAAAACTTCCAAGCAAGAATAATATAACCAGTGTCCTACAAAATAATAAAAAATAAAGACTTTCTAACATAACCAAGGGCTACACTACCACTACACATGTCAAACAAGAAACGGTAAAAACAGTCCTTTCCATTGAAAATAATGCAATGCTAGAAAATAATATATAATCATATCAAAATAAATACATGGAAAAGATACGCATACACAGAAAAATAAAATTCTGTGGTACTATAATGATGGTGCAGAAATCACTTTTTTTTTTTTTTTTTTTTTTTTTTTGAGACGGAGTCTTGCTCTGTCACCCAGGCTGCAGTGCAGTGGCCGGATCTCAGCTCACTGCAAGCTCCGCTTCCCGGGTCTACGCCATTCTCCTGCCTCAGCCTCCCGAGTAGCTGGGACTACAGGCGCCCACCACCTCGCCCGGCTAGTTTTTTGTATTTTTTTAGTAGAGACGGGGTTTCACCGTGTTAGTCAGGCTGGTCTCGATCTCCTGACCTTGTGATCCGCCCGTCTCGGCCTCCCAAAGTGCTGGGATTACAGGCTTGAGCCACCGCGCCCAGCCAGAAATCACTTTTAATTATCTAAAATTTGAAAGATGAAAGTAGAAAAATAATCATAAATATCTGTTAATGGATATATAACATTAAATGATTCAGTGACATCAGTAACAAAGTTGAGGGCAGATTTAATAAGAAAGAATTTTTGTATACAACTAAGGTTAAGTATTTACCAGTGTAAAATATCTTGCTGTAACTTTAAGATGTTTTATATACTTTCCATGGTAACTACAAAGAAAATGTCTATAAGACACACAAAAGAAAATTTAAAAAGGAGTCAAAGCTTATTACACAAAGTACAAGACACAAAAAAGAAAGGGAGAAAGAAAAAGCTACAAGAATCAAGTAAAAAAAATACAATGGCTAAAGTACATCTTTTCATTTCAGTAAATTATTAGGAACTAAACTACTCAATCAAAAGGCATATGCTAAATAATTTAAAACCAAACCAAGATCAAACTATAGCTGACCTACAAGAAATTCACCTGAGACCTAATGACAAAAAGAGACTGAAAGTGGCAAGATGGAAATAGACATTTCATGCAAATGTTAATGAAATGAGAGAAGAGGTTACAATTATATTACGCAAAATACATCTTAAGTCAAAAATGTCATACTTCATAAAGCATACTTTAAGTCAGAGCTCACAAAAAACAAGAACATAAAACAATAATAGAAGGGGGAATGAACTGGGAACCTATGACAAGTGTGGGTGCATATTTGTATATATATTTGGGTATTGAAGTAATTTCCTATTATATTGCTATTTCTTGCTTCAATTTTGCAAGTTCTTTATAAACAAATAATTACAGCATTGAAGCAAGAAACAGACAGCAATATAATAGTGGCATACTTCTAGAACCCACTTTCAGTAATGAATAATAAAGCAAGACTTAACAATTGTAGAGAGGACCTGAAAGCACTACAAAGCAATTCCACCTCACAGACACAGATACAACACTCCACACAACACAGCAGGAGACACACTCTTCCCACGAGCTCAGGAAACATTCTCCAGGACAGGCCACCTGTTAAACAAATAAACACGTCTTACCAAATTTCAAAAAACGGAAGTCTTCTGCATTACTATATATGACCAAAATGAAATGAAACTGGAAATAACAAAGAAAAACAAAAAAATTCACAAATATATGGAAATTAAACAACACATCTGAGCATGCTCTTGTTCAAGGGTTGAAATACTCAATATTGCAAAGATGTTCACGCTGTCCAATGCAATCTACAAACTCCACGCAATCTCTTTCAAATTTTGAATCCTCTTTTTGCAGAAATAAAAGCAACAACCTAAAAATCCTAAGACATCTCAAGGGACTGTAAAGCACCCAACAATTTTCAAACAGAGGAACAATGTTGGAGGTATCACACTGTCTGACTTCAAAACACATTATGAGGCAACCGTAATTAAAACAGTTTGGTATTGGTATAAAGGCAGACAAATAGTACAATAAAACAGAATGTAGCACAGATTTAAAAATAAAACACAGAAAAATAAAACTGTAGAACAAATAGCTAAAATATGGGATTCATTGAACACCATGATCTAAACCAATATATTCATGAAAGAAGTCTTACAAAAAATACACAGCAGAAAAGCAGCAGAGGCATTATTCGAAGAAAAAAAGGTTGTTAACTTTCCAAATTTCAATATGATAAAAATGTTACTAACCAAGAACACCTGATCTAGAATAATTTCACTTCAAAAGAACAAGGGAAAAATAAAGACTTTCCAAAATAAATAAATAGATGAGGGTGTTCACTACCACTAGTATAGTTCTATAAGAAATGCTAAAGGCTGGGTAGGCATGGTGGCTCATGCCCATAATACCAGCTTTGGGTGGGCCAAGGTAGGAGGATTGCCTGAGATCAGGAGTTAGGAATTAGCCTGGTCAACAGAGCAAGACCCAATCTCTACAAAACACAGAAAAAACACTGAAAAAACTTCATCGTGTTAAAAAAGACAATGATGCTAGACAGCATTATAAAACCATATGAAAATATAAAACTCTGTTAAAGGCATATAAGCAGATATATAATACTTTACTATCATAATGATGGTGTAAAAAACTCAGAATTCTGCCATAATATCTGAAAAAAAAATCTGCATAAATCTTTGCTACCAGATACAAAATATACAATAATTTGTTACATTAATAGCACACTGGAGGGTGTTACAGTTTCTGTATTTAATGAAGTTGTGAGATTAAAATCTATAACTTTAAGGTGTTTGATGTCCTCTCCATTTTTCAAGGCGATCACGAAGAAAATACCTATACAAGGTCTGCAAAACACAATGAGAAAAGAATGAAAGCATGTCCACACAAAATCAACAAAACAAACGATGAAGACAGTCAAAGAGGAAATGAGGGATAACATATCTACAAGAAACACAGAAAACAGTAACAGTCAAGATAGTGATAGTAACTTCATTTCCTTCAGAAATTATTTTAAATATAAATTAACCTACTTATTTAACAGAAATAAAATAGCTGAATTAAGAACAATATGCTAGCTACAAAAGACTTTAGCTTTAAATAGAAAAATAGGCTGAAAGTAAGAATAAAAAAAAATTCCATGCAATTAGTAACCACAGTCAGGTGGGGTGGTTATCATTATATTAGACACAATATACTTTAAGTCAAAACTGTCACAGGAGATAAAGATTAATAGCATGTAATGGCAAAATGTGTCCATTAACCAGGAACCTGTAACTGTTTATCTGTCTATATTTATATCTAACATCAGGGTTCCCAGATACATAAAGCAAATATGGAGAGAAGTGAAGCAAGACGTACACAGAAATACAATAATTATCGACTCTAAGACCCCATTTTCAACACAGAATAGAAAATTACACAGAAGATCAAGGCCAGGTCGGGTGGCTCACACCTGTAATCCCAGCACCTTGGGAGGCCGAGGTGGGCGGATCATGAGGTCAGGAGATCAAGACCATCCTGGCTAACACGGTGAAACCCTGTCTCTACTACAAATACCAAAATAAAATTAGCCGGGTATGGTGGCGGGCGCCTGTAGTCCCAGGTACTCGGGAGGCTGAGGCAGGAGAATGGCGTGAACCCGAGAGGCGGAGCTTGCAGTGAGCCGACATCATGTCATTGCACTCCAGCCTGGGTGACAGAGTGAGACTCCGACACACACACATACACACACACACACATACACACAGAGAAAATTCCACAGAAGAGCAACTTAACAGATACGTATAGAATGCTCCAGTCAAAAAAAGCATAACATACAATATTCTCAAATACACAAAGTGCATTCTGTTACAACAAATAACTCTTCAAAGATGAAAGTCCCATGACATGTTTTCTAACCAAAATGTAATAAAACTAGAAATCAAAAGCAAAAGTAATACTGGCAATGCCAAGAATGTATGGAAATTAAACACCCTTGAACATACACATTCTTGCTCAATGGTCAGATAATTTAGTTTTTTAAAGATGTCAATAATGGCCACACTAATGTACACATTCAGTGTAATCTCAATCAAATTCCCAATGGTACTTTTTGGTTTTTTAATCCTAAAATTAGTTTAAGAACAATAACTAGTCGAAAATCTTTAAAAAGAACAAAGAGGCATTACACTTTCTGATTTTAAAACATATAAAAAGCTACGAAAATAAAAACAATGTGGTACTGACACAAAGACAGATAACTAAATGATGAAACAAAGCAGAGAGCCCAGAAATAAACTCTTGTGGATAAAATCAAATAATTTTCCACAAGGTATCCATGACCACACAATGGAGAAGAGTCCTTTCAACAAATGATGTTAAAAACTAGATATCTACATGGAAAAATGAAGTGATATCTTTTCCATGCACCATATACAAAAGTATTTTAAATGAAATATTTAGACATAGAAATAGAATAAAACTCTTAGAAGAAAATATAGGAGAGCAAATGCATAAGCAATAAAAGAAGAACAGAAAAACTGAACTACATGAAACTTCAAACTTTCTGCAAATCAAAGAAAATAATGAGTGAAGTGAAAATGCCACCTAGGAAATGGGTAAAAATACTTGGAAATCACACATTTGATAGGACTTAATATTCAGAGTATATAAGGAACTTTTACAACTCAACAACAAAAATTAAATAACTTGATTTAAAAATAGATGAAGGACTAACTGAAATCTCTTCAAAAAAGATATGGAAACGCCCAACAAGCACCTGAATGAATGCTCAAATTACTAATTTGTAGAGAAATGCAAAACAAAAGGACAATTAAGCTATTTCCTCATACGTATTAGAATGGCCACTGTAAAAAAAAAAATTCAGATCTGTCAAGGATGTGAAGACGTTGAAAACCACGTAACCTGCTGGTAGGAAAGAAAGGATGCAGCCATGATGAAAGATAGCATAGGCCAGGCGCGCTGGCTCACAACTGGAACCCCAGCACTTTGGGAGACTGAGGCGGGTGGATCACTTGAGCCCAGGAGTCCGAGACCAGCCTGGGCAACATGGCAAAACCTTGTCTCTATTAAAAATACAAAAGTTAGCTGGGTGTGGTGGTGGACACCTGTACTTCCAGGTCCTCGGGAGGCTGAAGGGGGAGGAAGGCTCGAGCCCAGGAGGCAGAGGTTGCAGTGAGCTGAGATGGCGCCACTGCACTATAGCCTGGGTGATAGAGTGAGACTTTTTTTTTTTTAAATAGCATAAATGTTCTTCAAAAAATTAAAAATGGAATTATATGACCCAGCAATCCCACTTCTGGATCTATATCAAAAGTACACACTGCAACTCAGGACTTAGGAGAGATATTTGCACACCCATGTTTACTGTGTCACTATTCAGAAAAGTCAAATGGGGGAAGCCTCAAGTGATGAACACACACAAAAAATGTGGCATCTGCATACAAGGAATATTATTCAACCATAAAAACAGTAATACGGAGTTACAAAACACTAAGATGTTAGTCATAAAATCTGCTATGAAACACTGATGTACCATTAAAAAAGAATTTGCCTAGATAACTACAATATTTAACTGTGACTGTGTAATCATGAAAAGCAGGTATTTTGAATCACTGGCATGCAGTGTACAGCAGTGACACTTCACAGAAAATGCACTACAATCATTAATAAAAGACTCTACCGAGAACATTTTAATGAGTAAGAAGATACTAAAGATAATTTTTATTATATGTTTACTATACTGATGCGATTCTTATGCAAAATTAAAATGCTGCCATCCAAGTTTTAGAAGCAAAGAATAGCTTTATATTTCTAAAGAAAGAGAAAAGTATAAATTATGTAAAGTATAGTGAGAGTCACTGATATATAAAATAAACATTTGGGAATAAATAATATTACTATTTATATACGGATTGAAGAAATAGGATAATTTAATAAATATGGAGTGCTTGCCGGGTGTGGTGGCTCATGCCTGTAAATCCCGACACTTTGGGAGGCTGAGGTGGGCAGATCATCTGAGGTCGGGAGTTTGAGGCCAGCCTGACCAACATGGACAAACCCCGTCTCTACTAAAAATATAAAAAATTAGCCAGGTGTGGTGGCACATGCCTGTGTGTAAATCCCAGCTACTCAGGAGGCTGAGGCAGGAGAATCACTTGAACCTGGGAGGCGGAGGTTGCAGTGAGCCAAGACAGTGCCATTGTACTCCAGCCTGGGTAACAAGAGCCAAACTCCATCTCAAAATAAATAAATAAATAAACAAATAGTGCTTACGAAATAATTTAATTCAGACATAACACGTTAATTCTAGCATATTGTTCTGCACATTAGAATTTGAAATTAGAGATAAATCTGAAATGGAGCAAAAGAGAAAGTGAAAATGTACAGGAGAGTGACATAGAAAAATGGTGAAATAAGTGGACCAGGCTTATATATCCCCCAACAACAACAACAACGTGTCAGTCTTCTGTGTGCAGAAATGCCTTTCCAAGAGAATCAGGCAGCACAGCTCACGCCTATAATCCCAACTATTCAGGCCTGGGGTGAGAGGCTCACTTCAGGGCAGAAGCTCAGAACCAGCCTTGGTGATACAGAGAGACCTCATCTCAAAAAAATGCCTTTAAGAGAGCTTTGGAATCCAGGAAGGGGGTTGTAAAATTCTGCTAAAGACCAAGACCACAGATTCAACAAACTTCTTATCAAATTCCAGCGGCCTTTTTCACAGTAATGAAAACAGAATTCTAAAATTTATATGTTATTACAATAGACTTGGCATAGCCAAAGGAATCTATAGGAAAACGAACAAGGCAAGAGACATAATATTTTCTGATTTCAAGCGACATTTTAAGACTACAGTAGTAAGAACAGGATGGTATCTGAACAGAGAAGAAAACTGCCAGAGAGACCAACGGGACAGAACGGAGAGCCCAGAATTAAACTCATGCATATCCACTTAACTAATCTTTCACAAGTGCACGAAGAATACACAACACAGATGGTATAGTCTCTTCAACACTTGGTCCTGGGGAAACAGAATACCCACAATCAAAATAATGAAACACACAATTTTTCTTACACCATACTCAAAAATTAACCTGAAATCAAGCCTTAAATGTAAAACATGTATCCTTAAAAACTCTGAGAAAAAACTTCTTTGATATTGGTCTTGGCAATCATTTTTTAGATATGGCACCAAAAGTACAGCAACAAAAGTAAGTATCAACAAGCTGGACTGCATTAAGCTAAAAAGCTTCTGCACGCCAAAGACCATTTACAATCAAACTTTTGGATATTAGGATGGCTAATATAAAAAATAAGCAGTATATCAGGGCTGTGCAAAAGTAATTGTGGCTTTTGCCTTCTAAATAGTAAGAAACACTCTTACTTTTGCAGCAACCTAACAACAATGTTGACAAGGATGTAAAGAAAAAACAATTCTGAACACTCAACTGGTAGAGTTCTCAACTGGTAGAGTCATTATGAAAACCAGGAGGGGGCGCTATTTAAAAATTAAAAAAAGATAAACCTAGTCTACAATGCAGAAATCCCACTTCTGTGTATATAATAACTGAAGGGAATAAAAGCAGCAGCTTGAAGAATTATCTGCTCCCTCATGTTCACTGCAGCATTATTCACAATTGTCAAGATACAAAGACAAGCTAAACGTTTGTGGATGCTGAATGGATAAAGAAAATGTGATATAAATAGACAACAGAATATTAGCCATAAAAAAGGAATGAAATCCTGTTATTCAACAACATGGATGACCCTGAAGGACATGATGCTAAATAAACTCAGCCAGGCCCCAAGACAGAGATTGCACGTTCCCCCTCGGATGTGGAATCTGTCATGGCTGAACTCACAGGAGCAGAGGACGATGGCAGTTGCCAGGGCCTGGAGTTGGGGAAAATGAGCTGTTGTTCAAAAGGTACAAACTTTCAGTTGTAAGATGAGTAAGTTTGGGGAATCTAATGAGTAGCTTTATGAACACAATTAATAATCTTTTGTATGCTTAAAATTTGCCAACAGTAGACATGAACTGTTCTCACTACAAGAAAAGGTAATTATGTGAAGTGATAGATTTATTCCTTAATGTGATTGTACTAATTATTTCACAATGTATACACATATCAAATTATTACATTGTACACAATATACACAGTTTTTATTTCTAAAATAATCTGTTACACATATGCCCATATAGACACACCTGTATATATATGTGTGTGTGTATATATGAATGGATAAAGAAAATACGATGTAAATAGACAACAGAATATTACTCCAGCATAAAAAGTGAAATCCTATCATTTCAAAAGGATGTTGATATATGATATATACACACATATATGATATATACACACACATATATACATACACATACACGTACATACATATGAATGACACAGTCCTGATAAGCCTCATACTAAAAAAGAAGAAATTATAAAATGATAATATTATAACTATTACAGTTGGGAATTAGGGAATATAGAGTTTAAATGACCAACCTCAGTTCACGCTAAAAAAATAAATAAATAAAATTTTGAAGTACAACAACATTAGATCATCTCATATTTGGGCAGATGCCTAGTGTTTGGAGAAAACTGCTGAGTATACATTTCTGTAGACTCCCATTTGAAATCTCTGTGGGATACGAAATCATAAAGCAGAAAGCACACAACATCTGTTTATGGGACTTCTGGGATTTCTGAACCAAACACCATCACCACGCCTCTTGCACACTTCAGACATGATGCAAAAAGGAAATCAAAAAACCTTTAACAGAGTTCCTCAAACATAGGCAGGTACATGCGTGTTCCCAAAAGCAGTGGCAGAGCAAGACATGAGACCATACAGGCCCTTACTCGTCAGGAGGAGGATCTGATTTTTACTGTAACTTTTATAAAGGAAGATCACTAAACAGGAAGTGGAGTCTGTAGAAAATTTAAGAGAATGAGACAGAAGACGCTCCTAGGGGACAGCAAGAGAAAGACACCCAGGCTCTCAGAAACCATCTCCACTAGAGCAGAGCTTCCCAAACCACATTTTAAGCTCTGGCTCTGGTTTCCTCCTCGACCTCTGGACCTCTCACCTGGGTTACCTGCTTCGTTCACGCCCACCCACCTGGATGTCCGTCTGCTGCCTCCTGTCTCTTCACATTCCAGGGCTCTTTGCTTTGCTCCAGGCAGGTGATCAGGCCTGGCTTCGAGACGGTGAGACCTGTTTTATTAGAAAAAAGTGACATTACTCTTGCTGAAATTCTCCAATTACCAACCTTGTACTGTGCTTAGTAGAGTGAACATTATAGAAGATTCTAGAAAATTAATCCAAAAATGATGCTTCCTGACATAAACAATATTCAGTAAGTATTGTAAATCTGTGGGTTCTCAGTTTCACCACTCAGTACTGCTGAAATAAAACACTGGTAGTGGAAATTTGACTTTAAGGTGTGGGCAACAATATTTCATGCCACTGAATCTCTGGAATTATCACTAGAGTGAAAGATACAAATCAGTTAAAAAAAAGGAAGTTTATGTCAAAATGAACCACATTTTGAAGATTTTTTTTAACATCAACAATTCCCCATGTTTTTCTTAAAAGCAGGGATCTGAAACTCATTCATGCAATGCAGAAACTCCCAAAAACCATTCCGCAAAGGAACGAAAGGAACTCTTTAGGGCATATGAGGAATTACGTATTGAAGTTATCCTCACCAATGGAGAACAAGTTTCTGTAGTTCTCCAACATCACATCCCTGTACAAATTCTGCTGAGCAGGGTCCAGGCATTTCCACTCCTCCAGGGAGAATTCTATGGCCACATCCCTGAACGTCAACAGTGTCTGAAGAAGAAACAACAACAACAACAAATACTTACCAAGTGGCTTTGGGCAGAGTTCTTAACTGGATTCAAGGTGAAATGAGCGAGTGAAGAGAACTGGTTCTAACTTACACAAGTGACTGGAATTATAAAATAAGGTAATTTTTAGCACAAGAATATTCTCTAACTCTGAGGAAAGAGAATTGCCTAAGATCCACATAAGCAGTGTACATACAATACTTTTCTGGATGATGAAGTATAAAATTAAGGGCGTCAACAAAGGCATGTCCATTTTTGAGTGCTACATTTACGTCACATGAATAAAGTGTGTATATTTCTCAGGTGCAAAAGTCATGGTGAGTTAGAAGCTGTCTCTACAATTTTAATGTGTCCAATAAACTAGAGCTCTTGTGCAGATTTTGTTCAGGAAATCGGAGGTCAAGCCTGAGTTTCCGAATTTCTAATGCGCTCACCAGTGATGCCAGTCCTTTGGGCCCAAGGACAATATTTTGTCAAAATCCTGTAAGTGGCAGAGCATGGGTTTATCCCAGTTTTTCTGAACCACAAAGAGATCAGATTCTTCATCTTCTAAAGCAAGGCATATGCAAAAAGAATCTAAGAAGCAAAGACCTTTCAGATTAAATGTGATTATTTATGCACACTAATTAGTAAATCTCCTCAAGGTACTTAAAGAGAAAAAAATGAACTCTACAATGGAAAAATCTGTCAGAGAGCTCTTTCACCAACTGAATAAAACTAATATCAACTGTAATAGGACAGATTTTTATCATGTGCCAACGCACAGAGAAGGACATATTACCGGTGTGATATTGGCCAAAAGGTCAATTATAATCTGAATCGAATCATATTGAAACTTACTGTTATGCAAAGTTCAAGCAACAAATAAATATCTCCCAGGTATTGCGGGATCTGGCCAACAGCCTGCAATGCCAACGGGGCTCTTTCTTTGTTCCCAAGTGGATCAGCAGGTCGAGAAATAAAAGACACACTCAAGATAGTGAAAGCTGGGTCCGGGGGGGTCACCACCTTCTGGTCCTGCGATGCTGCCAATGCACTGGATATACCAGCATTTGTTATTAAGTTTAGTGAGGATGGGGGTAGGTTAGTGAGGGATTTAGGGTCGTTTGATTATGAGGTGAGATGGTCACATGGGAATGAAGTAATTCTTTAACATAACATTGGTGTGCAGAAGTACAGTACACAGAGATAAGAATTTACAATACAGTGTGTGCATCAGCAATTTCTAACAGAGCCTTAAAACACAAACACAGTCTATCCATAACCTATGATTAGCAAGATATTAAACAGCAGTAATAATGGCGGCAAAAGCTGGTTACGAACAATCAATGGAAGCAGGACGTAGAAGTAGACAAACGGTTAGACCACAAATTCTCAGAAGGTAGTATGCCTTCACCCTAAAGAGACCTAGAAAAGCTGTGGCAAGATAAGGGCGTTTATAGCCCTGTCTTATCCATGTGGACAGGTGCCCCCCATGTGTCCATTTATAGGCTCTCCACAAGGGTCGCATTCCATTTCCAGAGCTATGAACTTCTGTTTTTCTGGGATAGGAATCTTGGTGATGTGAAACCTCTCTGACTGCACGTCCGTTCATAGGCTCTCTGCAGGGGGAAGCACATCACGTGCTGTTGGCTCATTCTGGCAGCCCAACCCGGCATTGTCTTTACACAATCCTGCATGCAGTTTTGTATTTACAACAATTAGGAGCGTTTCATCTTTTATTCTGTAGCAGTAGTTTCAGGGGGTCTCCCTACACCCAGGTTCTGACAAATAAATACCTCCCAGGTTCTGACAAATAAATATCTCCCAGGTTCTGACAAGTATCTCCCAGGTTCTGTCCTCTCTTGTTTTGAGACGGAGTCTCACTCTGTAGCCCAGGCTGGAGTGCAGTGGTGTGATCTCAGCTCACTGCTACTTCTGCCTCCCTGGTTCAGGCAATTCTCGTCCCTCAGCCTCCGGAGTAGCTGGAACTACCCACATGTGCCACCATGCTTGGCTAATTTTTGTATTTTTTCAGTAGAGATGGGGTTTCACCATGTTGGCCAGGCTGGTCTCGAACTCCTGGTCTCTAGTGGAGGCCTAGGCCTCCCAAAGTGTTGGGATTATAGGCGTGAGCCACTGCGCCCAGCAGTAATCTCTAATAGTGTATTAAAATAGTCTTTCTTTAGCATTCTAAAAAGCAAGTATCTTTTCATTTTTCTCTTTTCCAGAATGCTCTGAGTTATTCTGGGCAATAAATGTCATCAGGTTTAAATGTTTATTTTCTTAGTCCTGTTCTGCATACAGCTAATGGAGCATCCAGATGAAACCTAAACAGTGCACGTTTCCCTTCTTTGCTGACATCCAAAAACCGCCCCTCATCCTCGAGAGGAATGCTGGGTATCCACACGTTCGGTGCCACGAAGTGAACGTTTTTAATACTGCAGGTCATAAAGTCATGGTGAGAATTCTTCATGGCATATAAGAAGTCAAGGTGAAGATAACAGAGAGACGGCTTTGGTATGCAGAAAAATATGTTCAGAGACCCTTCATTATTACAAGAAAAAAAAAAGTAGCTGAAACAAATTTATGCAGAAACACCACAAGTAGAGAAATAAAGGTTTCCAAATTCTAAACACATGACATTTCAGGAGCAAAAGTGGACACAACCCCTGACCTGAGATGCATTTACCTGAGCACCAGCCATTTCTTTCTCTTTCTCCTGCTTCTCTGGGATTTCCTCTTAGGAAAGATCTCTGGAAAATCACACCTGCATCATGAGAATATGCCTTTAAAGGTGTCAGCACAACCCCTTCACCTGCGACCACCACACCCATCAACGGAAAGACCTAGAAATACAGAAAAAGTCCACGCTTTTCTGTTCTTTATAAAAGACATTCAGCAACAGGAAACTTCTACGTGGAGATCAAAATGTGACTTTCTCTCTTCCGGCTCTCAGGTTCCCTCCCCTGCTAAACAAAAGCAATTCTGCTTTGGCAACTGGAGCATAAGCTGTACTGAGCCAGCCTCTGAAACCTAGGCAGAGAAGGCCCTGTGACCTCCCTTTGGAACCAAGGCTGAACTCAACTTGTACAAATGCATCTGAAATCCCCCATCACTGATTCTGGCCACACCTTAGAATCCCATGAGGCATGTGATTTAAACAGCACTGGTGCTTCCACCCAAACCAATAGGCAGAATCTGTGGGGAGGCAATGGTGAGGGCCTTTTTTTGAGTTGTCCATGTGATTTACTTAGAAGCCAGGTTGAGAACCATTTAGCTAAGCCTTGCTTCTCAAGCTTCAATGTGCATATGGATCTTCTGGTAATTTTGGCCCCACCCTGAGTCAAGTGATCCTGAAGATTTCAAAGGGGTTCATGGGTTGGATTTTTTAACAGTTCCGCCATTAATGGTGATGCTGCTCCCCCAAGACTTGTGATCATCAACACTCAGCTAAACAAAGCAGCCCCAGCACGGTCCCTTACACCCAACCCTCTGACCACAACACAAGTTCTTGTGGTGCGAATGGAGACAGTCAATCTCCATTCTGAAAGATTACATTATTTTCTGGCTCTTGAAAGTTTTCCAGGGCTGGAGAAGGAAGCAATGTCTGAGTCTGTCTGCATTTGGAAAACAATGTGTACACACATATAAATGCAGCGTTTATTAAGCAGGCACTATGTGCTCAGAAGTATGTGACAGCACTGTGCTGGGCACCTCACGTCATGTGAGCCAATCCTCATCACACCCTGGGTGATAGAACCAAGTGTCCCGCAACTCTCAAGATATAGACGAAGGACCCAGGCTTTGCAGCTCTTCTTCTATTTTCCTATAATTAACTTTTTAAAAGTGTAATGATAAAAGCTCCATATAGACCGATGGAAGGGATACAGAGAGGATGAAGTATAGTGCAGAGGCACTTTCCATTGTTGCATTTATCCTCACTTTCTTGGGGCTTGTGAAGCAACTATTAGACCCACAGGACTGAGAAACAGGTTGCTGGATGCGATGCCTCTAAAAGCACTGGTGTTAGTAAAAAAGAAAAAAAATTAAGGCCCTAAAACAGAGAGTTCTTTTATTCCATTTATCTGCTTTGGGGTTTCAGAAAATTCTGTGTATTAGTTCTGGAGAGGCAGCAGGAGTCAAACTCTGATTTAACTCCGTAGTTAAACTCCAAACTCTGATTTAACTCTGTAGTTAAACTCTAAACTCTGATTCAAACTCTGATTTAACTCCCTCAAACTCTGATTCAAACTCTGATTTAACTCCGTAGTTAAAACCTCAAACTCTGATTTAATCCCCAGTTAAACCTAAACTCTGATTTACCTCTCTCAGCAACTCCAAACTCTGATTTTAACTCATGTTAACCCTGAACTCTGATTTAATAACCTGCAGTTAAACCTCAAACTCTGATTTAACTCTGCAGTTAAACCCAAACTCTGATTTACCTCTCTGTAGTTAAACTCAAATCCTTGATTTAACTTTCGTAGTTAAACCTCAAACTCTGATTTAACCTGCAGTTAAACCCCAAACTCTGATTTACCTCTGTAGTTAAACCCCAAACTCTGATTTACCTCTGTAGTTAAACCCCAAACTCTGATTTACCTCTGTAGTTAAACCCCAAACTCTGATTTAACTCTGTAGTTAACTGTTGGAGCAGAGTCCAGGGTGAGGCCAGACCTGGATGAGGCTCAGAGGAGGGGAGTGCGGGCATGTCTGGGCAGGGAGAGGGCCGCACGCAGGATTCTGCTCTCTATGCTACTAGAGTATTTACAATTCTGTTTTTCCTAAAACTGCCCCCCAAAAACTTAAATCCCAGGATTTGTATAATTTTAATCTATGTTAGCCACTTCCCTATTTTATAACACAAAATAACAAGGAATTTAAACCAAACCTTTAGGGTTTTCTAGGATATATATGGTAGAAGCTAAATATTTATTTTTAGCAGGGCAAAAGCAACAGAAATAATACCACCACCACTTTTTCTATCCGAATATCCCTTCAACGCGACATCAGAACTCACAACGACCACATCAGGAAAACGGCCCAAATGAAGCCAAAGTCCCTTTGACCACTCCCTTCTTCATGCTAACCCCACGATGCTGAATTCAATGATTTATCCAGTTACTGGAAATGGAAAGTTTCTGGCTTGCAGGGACCATGGCTGCCTTCTGTTTTCCTAATGGCTACACAAGATGGAATCAGTTAGTTTATCAGTTTGAATCTCCAGATCTCATTTTTGTTTTTTACTCAAGTACCAGAAAACTGGAGTAATTCCCATGTGGATACCAACGAGGTTTCTTCTCTGAGGGGAGGAACAAACCCTGGGTGACTCGTTTCTCTTTTTCTATGAAAGAAGCACAGATAGACCGTTTTGTCAGCCTGAGCCCCGTCTGCACAGTGCACTCCCGAATGTCCAAAAGACTCCAGGCGCTGGTGAGAGAGTTCCTGGTGACCCTGCACGGATGCCCTCTATGGCCACCCGGGTGGGAGAGATGCAGGCTGATTCTGAGTAGAAAATGGAAAAATTTGGGAGCGAACTTTCTTTGGATATTAAATATAAGTATCTCAGTATGAATAACTTTAATATACTGGTCATGATGTATGTTGTATTTAAAAATTCTCCGTAATTTTAATTCAGTTAAAACACATCATATTTCAAAAGAATGAATAACATTGGTATTAAAATTACTGTTTAAGAGGTTTTTCTAAAATAAATACTGTTCCTTTATATTCACATTATTGTAGAAAATACTGTTTAAGTGGATGCAAGTTGTCTACTAAAAATGACACATAACTATGCTAGTTGTTCCTAAGTAAGAAATAGAATGCAAGCTATGGCCGCAAACCCCACGGTCTAGCTGACACACTGAGCTGTCCTTGCTTTGCAGTGTGTGTCCTTCAGCCTCCAGACCTGAAGCAATCACCTTGGATGACTGGCTTTCTGTCAAAGGCAGTTGGCATCCTTTACCCTTCATCCCTCCGTATCGCTGAGCTTAATCCTATGCTGTGTACTCTTAAAATCAGCTTCTTTCTAAGCAAATCTGCGTCTACTTTAAAAGACTGAAAATGGAAAAAAATAAATATTTGCCAAATTAAAAACAAAAACTAAGCAATGGTTCTCAGGTCCTAAATAAAGATAATCATGAATTAAAAAGAATGACAAAAGACTTATTTAGCTGTTTAAATGACTTACATATATTTCAAAAAAGCAGAGAAAACATTTGCATGTTAAAGTGTCCTAAAGTAAATCCTTTCAGAATTGGGAGAAGAAAAAAATCTTTCTCCTTATTTTCTTTTTTTTTTTTTTTTTTTTTTTTTTTTTTTTTTTTAGTAGAGCTGAGGGTTTCACACTGTGTTAGCCAGGATGGTGCACGATCGACCTCAGTGATCCGCCCGTCTCGGCCTCCCAAAGTGCTGGGATTTACAGGCTTGAGCCACGCGCCCAGCCCTTTCTCTTATTTTTTTTTTTTTTTTTTGGTCAGACGGAGTCTTTTGCTCTATCCCGGGCTCTGGAGTGCAGTGGCAGGATCTCAGCTCACTGCAAGCTCCGCATCCCGGGTTCACGCCATTCTCCACCACCACACCTCAGCCTCTCGGGTAGCGCGGGGACTACAGGCGCCCTGCTCGCCCGGCTAGTTTTTTTGTGTGTAATGTTATTGTTTTTAGTAGAGACGGGGTTTCACTGTGTTAGCGGGATGGTACCGATCTATGACCTCGCGATCCGCCCGTCTCGAAACTCCCAAAGTCTGGGATTACAGGCGGAGAGCCACGGCCCGCATCTCCTTATTTTCAGGCGAGAGGCAGCTAAGCCTCTTATTTACCACAAGTGCTGGGATTACAGGCTTGAGCCACCGCGCCCGGCCCTTTCTCCTTATTTTCTTTTTTTTTTTTTTTTTTTTTTTTGGTCAGACGGAGTCTTGCTCTGTCACCCGGGCTGGAGTGCAGTGGCCGGATCTCAGCTCACTGCAAGCTCCGCCTCCCGGGTTTACGCCATTCTCCTGCCTCAGCCTCCCGAGTAGCGGGGACTACAGGCGCCCGCCACCTCGCCCGGCTAGTTTTTTTTTTGTGTGTGTTTTTAGTAGAGACGGGGTTTCACTGTGTTAGCCAGGATGGTCTCGATCTCCTGACCTCGCGATCCGCCCGTCTCGGCCTCCCAAAGTGCTGGGATTACAGGCTTGAGCCACCGCGCCCGGCATCTCCTTATTTTCAAGTGAGAGAACTAAGCCTCTTATTTCTAATTTGTATTTGTTCCTGCAAGAGCCAGGTCTAGGGCCATGGACCTGAAATTCTGAACTTGTTAATTACAGCAGGCACTGGATTCAGGCACCGAAGGGGTGGCCTTGGGCACACCATGTGCACATAAAAGGGGTTTGTGTGCAAAAAAAATCAGGAGAGAAAGGTGCTCTCAAGAATCCACAGGTGACACAGAGTGCAAAGTTGGCAGCAAAACTGGTTGTGCTACAGACAGTGGCCCTCGTGGGGCTACGATCCGACTGACAGCGGCCCAGGTGGGGCTATGATCTGACCGATCCCTTTGTGCTGCAGGCGGAAGAGATTACAACTGGGTGATCCAGGGGCATGGGCTGGTGGCAGAAGCTGCTGCTGCAGATTCCCTTTCTGGGGGTGAGGATACACCAGCAGTCCTGAAGGCACGTGTGTGGGTTTTGGGTGAGGAATTCTAAAACCAAAGGTGCTGCAGTGAATTCTGGAAGGGGATGCCCCCTCTTCGAAGGGGCACGGCAAGTCCATGTTCCTAAGTGGGCGGGAATCATGTGATGACAGCTGGGGAGGAGGGTGTCAGTTCTAAGAACTTTTCCCTCTCACCCTCAGGGACCTGGAATCACAGGACAACGTGCCACGCGACAGCCTGTGTGCAGAACACAGCCTTGCTTCCCCAGACATCCAGAGTCTCCCTCCAGCCCGGGCCCCTGTGATGTCTTTCTTCAGACTCCAAGTGTGTGGTGTTTGCTAAACACCAAGCAATTCTTCAACACCAATGAGTGTCTAACTTTTTCTTTTCTTTTTTGAGACAGTCTTGCTCTGTCGCCCAGGCTGAAGTGCAGTGTTGTGATCTTGGCTCACTGCAACCTCCACCTTCTAGGCTCAAGTGATTCTCATGTCTCAGCCTCCTGGGTCGCTGGGATTACAGATGTGAGTAGCTGGGATTACACATATGTGCCACTATGCCCGGTGATGTATTTTTAGTAGAGATGAGGTTTCACCATGTTGGCCAGGCTGGTCTCCAACTCCTAGCCTCAAGTGATCCACCTGCCTTGGCCTCCCAACGTGCTGGGATTACAGGTATGAGCCACTGTGCCTGGCCAAGTGTTGAATATTGTAATTCTGACACCACTTAGAGCCAGCCCAGACCCCACAAGTTCAGGGCTCAGTCCCACAACACTGCCACTACAGATGCCAGTCACAAGCCTTGGGCACCCATTTATACTTCGAATATTTATATTTTTGATGTCTACTGCCTATAAACAGGGTACTCCCATAACCTCCTGTCAAGTTCAGTAATTTGATAAAACTACTCAAAGAACTCAGCAAAACACTGTACTTATATTTACTGGTTTACTATAAAAGATACATATCAGCAACGGCCAAACGGAACAGCCGCACAGAGCCAGGGAAAGGGTGGGGAAGGAGGAGTGCCTAAGGGATTCCGGTCAAAAGGCCTGAGCAGCAGAATTGCTCCCTCTTTGTGTTCTCCAGGAGCAGCTGAATGAAGAGAAACCCCTCTATAATATGACCCAGACGACGCTCACTTTGTTACCTACCACAGTACCAGATACAGACTCTTGAAAATCCCCATTTTTTCCTCATAAACAGCTGAACAATTCTGTCTTCAGTGGTCAAAACACTTCTCTATCAAAACTTGCTAAAATTTCTCTCCTTCCCTCTAGCCCCTGAATTTTGAACTACCCTCAGTCTGAGCCAGCATACAACCCCTCCTTCTTGCCCCTCCTAAGAACACACAGATTTCAGAGTAAAACATTCTAGGATCTAGAATCTGGTTTTCCCACCCTCTATCCTGTCTTCCCTCCTCCCTATAAAAACACAAAAAAGCCCGTGTCTGCCTAACTTTTGAGATCCTCAAAGGTATGATAGTTGCCACCTTCTCCCTGTTGCAATCCTCCTTTAGAGTTCGGTAACTTCCTACCTAAAGCTAAATTTATTTGACGAAGTCTAGAAACAGCCCCAGGATAATAACGATTCCATACCCAGGAAGACCTCCCCAAATCCCTTCCATCCCAACTCTAACTGCATCTGCCTGTGGGTCCCCAATGCTCCCAGGCTCTGCAGCTTCTCTCCTTCCATGGCTGCTGTGAGCAGGCTGGGGCACCTGCAGGGGAGGCTCCTCGGGAAGCACTAGCTAGGCCAGGGGCGTCCAATCTTGGCTTCCCTGGGCCACACTGGAAGAACTGTCTTGGGCCACACATAAAATACACTAACACTAACGATAGCTGATGAACTGGAAAAAAAAATCACAAAAACATACCATAATGTTTTAAGAAAGTTTACTAATTTGTGTTGGACCACATTCAAAGCCCAGGACAGCATGTGGCCCAGGCCTGTGGGTTGGACAAGCTTGAGCCAGGCCTTCAATTGCTTTCTTTTGCAGGCTGAATATTGGCCTTAGCTTGGAATGACTGTCCTTGGGCTTCAATTTCCCAATCAGGGCTATCCACTTAGTTTTAAGTAATACCCATTGTTGGAAATATCCAACAAAATCACTCAAACAGCATTTACAAAAGAAAAGGAAACTGTAAGGCACTTACGCTTTCACCTCCACAGAAAAAGCAGAATTATTTATTGCTTTCAGACAATAAACTTGTTGTTTAACTATTTCCATAACAAATCATATAGTAAGCAGTCATATGGGAACACTTTTAGAAGTGCTAAGTTCTGTCTCCCACAACTTAGCATTAAGCTCAGACATGTAGAGAACAGGATATAAAACAGATATTCATAATAACACATTCATCTGGCAAAAAGAGGAGCTCATGTTCTGATGAATCTATGTAATTTACCAAGTAATCTACCATAATTTTTTTGTAGAAAATGTAAACATTCTCCACAGCCATCCAAGAAGCATTTTATTTTCCCTGGTAGCATTCCCAAAGCTAAGCCCTGGGATTCTGTTGGAAATCATCTTCCACAAAAGAACAGACCTAAGTAACTTTCTACCCTTAATCAGGAGAAGAAAAAGGTATGTATGACTAGATATTTAACTTTTTTCCTGAAATTGACCTATTTCACATCCTTTGTAAGTATTTTCTTACCTTTCAAGCGCTACTGATAAAATGTAAATTTATAATTACAAAACCAAAGTTGCAGTAAGTGAACAAATTATTTCAAGGAGATACAGAGAGTGGCAGTGCCGACTGGAACACAGACACAGCTAAAGACTTGTGTTAAGTCAGGCTATTCTATTCCTTGAGAGATTCTCCCACCTCCATCCTGTTCACTGAAGTGCTCACTGGCCACCCCCCATGATACACTGCACTGTGCCCCACTGAGTGTCCCAGGTGAATTTTGCTTCACAGGTTTTTGCACCATCTCATGGAGGTGGGGTTTTCTTGTCCTTTGAAACACTCTGTCTCCCTTCACAAATCTGAGAGTCCAAAGGGCAGAAATGATTTCGGTCTTTTCCCTCTGACAGCAGCATCTGATTGGCTGATCAGCCATGTATCTCCAAGGATTGAAAATTGGGTTGGGTGAAGACAATCTTAACGTCCTAAGCGTTAGAGGAAGAGTGGACCAGGAGATTTCTCTCAGCCCAGGGCATCCAGCTGCTCCCTGGAGAGGCCACACTTCATACCTCAGGCTGTCCTTTGAGAAATAACCCAGGGCCTGAAATTCACTAGATGCTGCAGCAGACACGGCCATGGTGGGCATCCTGTGTTATCCCTAGACAATACTGAAACTGAGGAGAAAGTCCAGAGGGTGGCTGAGAGCAAATCACCCTGTCAAGTTTCCAAAGTGGAACCTCAAACCAAAGACATTCTGGTACGGTGTCTGTGCCTAGGGAAAATAAAAAGAAGAGGCACAAAGATTTTTTACAATAGTGTCAGAGTATGATTCTCTGCTTACTTGTCATGTGGAATGATTACAAACAGAAAACAAATCTCTTAAAAAGTGCTGTCCAGGCTGGGCGCAGTGGCTCACGACTGTAATCCCAGCACTTTGGGAGACTGAGGTGGGTGGATCACATGAGGTCAGGAGTTCAAGACCAGCCTAGCCAATATGGTGAAACCCCATTTCTACTAAAAATACAAAAATTAGCCAGGTGTGGTGGTGCAGGACTGTAAAACCAGCTACTCGGGAGGCTGAGGCAGAAGAATTGCTTGAACCTGGGAGGCAGAGGTTGCAGTGAGCGAAGAACACATCACTGCACTCCAGCCTGGGCGATAGAGCAAGACTCTGTCTCAAAAAAAAGAAAAAGAAAAAAAAAAATGCCATCCAATGCATTGTGAAAAAATGATTCATTACAATACTGTGCCTAAAATTACAGCCAAGGATGAATAGTTAATAATGTTGTGAATTAGAAAGGGGAAGTTAGCATTTGGGAGAATCTGGAAGGTACAGGAAATTTAGTATTTTACTGCAGGCTAGAGTTAGGCTTGAAGAACATGGTGGTGTTTTTGAGACCCTGCTTGAAATGCATTTGGAAAATGCAGCGGAAAAACCAGTTTTCCCTGGAGTGTTAAAAATAATTAACTAGGCCAGCGGAGTGGCTTACACCTGTAATCCCAGCTACTCGGGAGGCTGAGGCAGGAGAATCACTTGAACCTGGAGGCGGAGGTTGCAGTGAGCCGAGATGGCGCCACTGCACTCCAGCCTGGGCGACAGAGCGAGACTCTGTTTCAAAAAAGATAATAAGAATAATTAAATAGCAGGCAATCCGACTGAGGTGGCTCTAGTGCCCTGGGTTCTTATGTTAAAAAAAAAAAAATTAAATGCGTTTCTTGCAAACGACTATCTTGCAGAAACAAAATTCAGGCTTCATCAACCACAAATCTCTAATTACTCTCTGAGTACAAGACCAGAAAATTTCAACCTAGCTAGCTCAAATCAGGAGATGACGTAACTGTACCAAACTAATTAATGAATGTGGTTTGCTTCCTCACGCACCTGATAAAAGCCTTTCCTTCAAGGCCTGCTGGTGGGACCGCCAAACCAAAAAAACATGGTTGGGTCCTCTGCCATTCATGAATCACTCTTTGCTCAAATAAAACTGTTTCACATTTTTGCAAGGACTCCCTCGGGAGACAGGAGGGACTGGGGCCCCCACGGGCTACAGATCATCCTCTTATGCACAAACCACCCGCGGAGTCGGGATTCTCCCTTCCTAACTTGGGGAGATGCGGGTCTGCGGGCGAAGAGCAGCCGCGGGGAGACGGCTCTGGGCTTGGGCCAAAGCCGCTCTGCAGGGATGCGCCAAGGCGCGCGGGGCCCGGCCGCCATGGTGCAGCTGGAAGGGCCTCGGGTTCGCGGAGCCCGGAACCCACCCGGGCAGCCCGGTTCCTCCCCAGCCGGTACCGCGGGTTCCAGCCCGCCCCTGCCTGTCTCTCAGGAGGCCTAGCCCCTACACTCACCATCTCTTGGTCTCCAGGGAGCCTGACGTTTCACTTCTGGATCTCCCGGTGCCTGCGGGTCACACGGCCAACGGCTAGCAGAGGACGCAGAGCGGCGGGGACAGGAAGTGGAACTCTGTCTGGACAAAGACCCCGCCAGATCCCGGAAGCCGGCCTCTCCTCTCCAGACGCGTGCCTGATTGGACAGTCCCCGCCCCTGCTCCTCTGATTGGATAGGGTATCACGCCCCGCCCCCTCAGGCCCTGAGTGACAGGAGCTGTAATCAGACAATGGGCCGAATGAGACAGCAAGGACAGGTGCTGGCCGCGGTTTTTGGGGGCAGGGCTTCCTACCTGCGCTGTCCGGCCCCACCTAGAGGATATTTATATTTCACGTGTGACTGTGGTTATGTTCATTTACAAATAATAAGTATCTGTTATTCACCAGTGGAAATACAATAATGATATTCATATTGAATTTTTATATTTTATGGCCTTCTTGGCTTTTGGTCCTTTGAACAGACAGCCTGAAATTTCAAAAAGGAGTCAAGCCTCTAAGAATTAAAATGTGAGCCACGTGTGAATCTTAAATTTTCTAGTAGCCACATTTTAAAATGTGCTAAGAAACAGGTGAAGTTGATTGTAATAATTTGACTCAGTATGTAACCATTTTCCTATATGGTCAATATATAATTGGTAAGGAAGCATATATTTTGGGGTACTCAATCTTTGAAGCTCACTCTGTGTTTTACCTTTTCAGCACATTTCAGTTCAGACCAGCTGTATTCCAGTTATTCAGTAGTCACACATGATCAATAGCTGCCACATTAGAGTGCAACTCTGAGGTCTAACCTCCCTTATGTCAGGGGGTGGAGGGTCTGAACATCCCTTTTCAACCAGAGGTGAGGGAACAGCCTCTTGCTACAAACATCTCTCCTCCGGTCGAAGGGTGGATGAGATGGTGATCCTAGAGAGCATAGAGGACAGCAAAAGAAAATATCCACGGGTAGAGGACTGCTGCCCACCAATAATGGCGACCCAAGAGGAGAGAACACATCTTCGCATCTGTCCACAGCCTTGACCTCCAACATTTAGATATGGAGGAAACAGACTAGAGGCAGACTTATCTTGCTATTTGGCCTTAGCTCTAATGACTGAGCTGTGATTGTCTGTTTCTTCCTGTGGTAGGGGGGCCTGTGTGAGAAAAAGCACCAATCACATATATACCTGTGTACATGCATTTCTGTATGATGGAACATTATCTTACAAAAGATCCAACTTTAAATAAGGGGGGAAAATTAGTACCTATAAAGTGCTTTTCTCTTGCAGGTAACTAGGAATCAACCTTTCACTGAATCCTGGCATCCTATCTGCCCTGGAAGCATGCATTAGTTACCTATTACATAACAAACCACCCAAAACTTAATAGCTCATGATTGAGTTCATCAGCCATTTAGGCTGAGTTCAACTGAGCTGTTCTTGTCACAACTGGACTCCTTCATGTATGTATGGCCAGCTGCTGGTTGACTAGGTGGCTCTGCTTCTGGGGATGAGATGGCTATCAACAGTGGCACCTTCCTTCTCCCCACCATGGTATGTCATCCTCTAGCTGGCTAACATGGCTTAATCTCATAAAGACAGCAAGGTTCTGAGAAAAACAGAAGCATTTAAGACCTTTTGAGCCTAGACCCAAAACTAGCACAAAAGCTGTCACGTTCGCAGTTGATAAGGTCTGGCTGTGTCCCCAGCCAAATCTCAACTTGAATTGTATCTCCTAGAATTCCCACGTGTTGTGGGAGGGACCCGGGGGAGAGGGTAATAGCATCATGCGGGCGGGTCTTTCTCATGCTGTTCTCATATGAGTGAAAAAGTCTCACGAGATCTGATGGGTTTATCAAGGGTTTCCACTTTTGCTTCCTCCTCCTTTTTCTCTTGCCGCCACCGTGAGAGAAGTGCCTTTTGCCTCCCGTCAGGATTCCGAGGCCTCCCCAGCCATGTGGAACTGTAAGTCCAGTTAAACCTCTTTTTGTTCCCATGTTTAGGAATGTCTTTATCAGCAGTGTGAAAACGCACTAATACAACAGTTTTCTATAACCAGAGCAAATAGTCCCAGCCAGATGCAAGGTTTGGGAAACATTCCGCCTCTTGATGGGAGGGGCAGTAAAAGCCCACGGTAGAAAGCATAGATACAGAGAGGAATGAAGAATTGCTGCTGTTTCTGCAATCTGTATTAGTCTACCCTTTTTTGCAGAAGAAGTTTGTATGACTCTTTCAAGTCAAGAACCTTGCCCAAAGCCCCACAGCTACTAAGCAGCTGGGCTAGTACTGAGGATCAACTCTGCCTGGTTCTGCAGCCCTTACTCCTGCATAGACCACACTGCTCATGCAGCTTCCCGAGGCCTGCGAGGTTCTGGAGAGTGACTTTTCTGCAATAGAAGCAGAATTCCTTTTAGATTTGGGTCCATATGGTGCTGTTTATCACTGGGAATAATCAATCACCTCAAGAAATTGCAGAAGCTTCTTGGAAGGACCTGGAATAATTTGGGGGAAATGGCTGATAGATGACTTTAGGAAATCAAAGTCCAACAACAGAGGAGCAATTTTAAAACAGAATATATCCTATATGTCTGTAAATGCTTTCATGCCTGTTTGGTATTTGTAGGCTGTTTATAATTTTCAACACTGACTTAAAGTACTGTGACTGAAACAACTTCTTACCCTGAAATCAAGTGACTTAAAGATACATCTGCTGAGAAGCCTTTTTTTTTTTTTTTTTTTCCTGCAGCAATTTATCCAAATAGCTGAGTCCATCTTGGAGGTGTCCTTTGATTTTTAACAGGGAAGAGCTAGTTTTCAAGCCCCTAAACTCAGGAGCAGCCATGTGGCAAATCCCATCAGTATGCATGGAAACCAGCTACAGTGAATGCATTCATTACCCGGAATCAATTGTTCTCACCCCTGCTGCATGTAAAATCACCTGGGCGGGGAATGGCATTTAGAATTTCCCAAACCCAAGTTGCCACAGACCAGATAAATGAGAATCCCTGGAGTGGGCCTGGGCAACATTGTGGCTTAAAGTTGTGGCTTAAAGCTCTCTGGGGGATTAGAGTGTGGCCCAGACCCCAAACCACTGCTTTAACTTTTTTTAACTTTTAAGTTCAGGGGCACAGGTGCTGGTTTGTTATATTGGTAAACTCATATCATGGGGGTTTGTTGTACAGATTATTTCATACCCAGGGCCTCACCAGAAGCCAAGCAGATGTTAATGCCATGTTTGTACAGCCCGCAGAACCATGAGCCCATTAAACCCCTTTTCTTTACAAATTATCCAGCCTCAGAAAATTGTACCAGGAGTGAAGTGTTGCTATAAAGACACCTGAAAATGTGGAAATGACTTTGAAACTGGATAATGGGCAGAGACTGGAAGAGTTTGGAAGGCTCAGAAGAAGACAGGAGGATGAGGGAAAGTTTGGAACTTCTTAGAGACTGGTTAAATGGTTGTGTCCAAAATGCTAACAGTGGTAAGGATAGTGAAGTCCAGGCTGATGAGGTCTCAGATGGAAATGCAGAACTCATTGGGAACTGGATCAAAGGTCACTCTTGTTATGCTGTGGCAAAGAGCATTGCTGTATTGTGTTCATACTCTAGCAATCTGTGGAAATTTGTACTTAGGAGTGATGATTTAGAGTATCTGGTGGAAGTAATTTCTAAGCAGCAAAACATTCAAGGCACGACCTGGCTCCTTCTAACCATCTACACTCAGATGCAGGAGCAAATAAATGACTGAAAGCTGGAATTTATATTTAAAGAGGACACAAAATGTAAAAGCTTGGAAAACTTGCAGCCTGGCCAAGTGACAGAGCAAGAAAAAGCATTATCAGGAGAGGAATTCAAGAAGGCTATGGAGCAACTTCTTGCTAGAGAGGTTTGCATGAATAAAAGGGAGGCAGGTGCTGATAACCAAGACAATAAGAAAAAGGCTTCAAATGTATTTCAGGGATCTTTGGCCCTTCTCATCATGTGTAGAGGACCCAGGCCTAGGGCCCCACTCCCCTGTGCAGCCTCAGGACATTATTCTCTGCATCCAGGCCACTCAGAGGGGCCCAGGTACAGCTCAGGCCACTGCTTCAGAGGGTGGAAACCATAAGCCTTGGCAGCTTCCAAGTGGTGTTAACCATTTAGGCACATTGAGATGGAGTGTCGCTCCATTGCCCAAGCTAGAATGCAGTGGTGTAATCTCGGCTCACTGCAACCTCCACCTCCCCCATTCAAGCAATTCTCCTGTAATTGCATTGAATTGATAGATCAATTTTTTTAGTGTTTCAAGCTTCACAATATTAGGTCTTCCAATGTATGAACATGGGATTTCTCCCCCATTTACTTTGGTCGTCTTTAACTACTTCGAGTGATGTCTTGTAGTGTTAAGTGTCCAAGTCTTGCACTTTTTGGTTGCTGGTATTCCTAGGAATTTTATTCTTTTTACAGAATTGTTCCCTTATATCCTGTTTGTACTGCTCATTGGTGGTTGTAGAAATACAGCTGATTTTTGTGTATGGGACTTGTGCCCCGAACTCTGTTGAACTCATTTATTGGGCATAATTGTGTGTGTGTGTGTGTGTGTGTGTGTGTGTGTGTGTGTCTCCCTTAGAATTTTCTACATACAAGATGCGGTTTTCTGTAAATAGAGATACTTTTGCTTAGTTTTTTCCAAACTGGATGACTTTTATTTCATTTTCTTGTCATATTACTTTGGCTATAGCTTCAGTGAAATGTTGCATAGAAGTGGTGGGTGTGGACATCCTTTTCTTTTTCCTGATCTTAGGGGAAAACATCCAGGTTTGCACAGTTACATATAGTGTTCACTGTGAGTAGATGCCCTTTATCAGGCTGAGAAGATTCCCTTCTGTTCCTCCGTGTGCCAACCCAAAGCTGGGAAGCCTTTGAGTGGTTGGAGAACACTTGAATTCTTCATCCTCTGAGCCCAGAGATGGAGGGTGCACCTCAGCCTGTGTTCAACCATACCGTCTTGGGTCCCTGAAGCAGCACAGTTTTCAGTGTTGTCCTACAGAGCATCTCAGGGACACATCTCATTCTAGTCTCCCTTCCCCCTCTACAGGCTTGTCTCCTGCTCTGGGTCCTAGATGGGCACAGAGACGACCCATTATAACCCTTCCTAGGGACCAAGGGCCAAGATCTCCTTCTG